ACTTATGACCATATCTTAGATTCATCCCCAACTCAGAGTCTTTGTAGCAAATGGTCTTTCTCACTAAGGAAAACTATAAAACAGTTGGTCACAGAAGAAATAAAAAGGCCCTCTTCATGTGGAAGGGATGAGTCACAGCCTTTAGTCACGTTATGAGCAGGATATCACAGATGAGTGTTTGTCATGTAACAGCTCTTTATGATTTCTAGAATTCTATGGAAGAATCTGAGCTGAAGAATTACACCCGAATTCTCCCCTTCCACACTTCCCTTCTACATTTATCAGAAGGCAGGAACAAATGTTTGTTCTTCAGCATAGAAGCTGAAGTGGAGCAGCAATTTCTTTTTAGCTGTACCTGATGGTAAACTTTCTGGCTCTTAAGAGTTGATGTGACAGCTTTATAGTTTTATGATGGCTTCAAAGTCTAAAACATAATGTGAGGTGATGGAGAGGACCCTGGATCTTGAATCACGGGCCCTATGTTTAGAACTCAGCTCTCTTGCTTATTTTTATTTATTTATTTTTGGTGAGGCAATTGGGGTTAAATGATTTGCCCAGAGTCACACAGCTAGTAAGTGGTATGTGTCTGAGGCTGGATTTGAACTCAGGTCCTTCTGACTCCAGGGCCGGTGCTCTACCCACCGCACCACCTAGCTGCCCCTGTCCTGTTTATTTTTTGTGTGATCTTGAGCAAGTCATTCTCTAGGCCTAGTTGGCCTTTAAGGCCCCTTCCAGGCCTAAATCTGTGGTTTTCATCCTAGCTTTGACTAACATTTAAAGCAGTTGATTGGTTTCCCATCTTGGGTTGTCGTTCAGTCATTTCAGTCATGCACAACTCTTCATGACCCCATTTTGGCAAAGATACTGGAGTGATTTTCCTTCTGCAGCTCATTTTACAGATGAAGAAACTGAGGCAAACAGAGTTAAGTGACTTGCCCAGGGTCACTGAGCTAGTAGGTGTCTGAGGCCAGATTTGAACTCAGAGAAATGAGTCTTCTTGATTCCAGGACACTCTATCCACTGTTCCACTTAGCTGCCCCCATTTTAGGTCCAAATGCTTGTGTAGTCAATATATTTGTTAACAGATGAATTTTAGCAGCAACACAGTGAGCAAGCGTAGAGGATACTATGTTGATAGAGTGGTGGGAAGGCTGGGCTTGGAGAAGACCTGGTTTCATATTGTGCTTCTTTATACATTCTAGTTACATAACCATGGACAAGCCACTTAACTTCTCAATGCTCCAGGTAACTTGCTGCAATTATAAATTGCATACAGTTATTCATCTTAATTGGTGGAAGCTGTTCCCACATTGATCAAATCACAGGTCTTGACCAAAAAAAACCCAAATCTGATAATGAAAGTAATAGTAATAATAAAGATTTATATAATGCTTACTATGTGCTAGGCACTGTGTTAAGTACTTAATAAATACTATCTCATTTGATCCTCACAACAGCCCTGCAAGGTAGAAGCTATTATTAACCCCATTTTATAGATGATGAAACTGAGGATAAATGACTTCAGATGATACATACAGAGATTAAGTGACTTCCCCAGGGCCACACAGCTAATAAGTGTCTGAGGCTGGATTTGAACTTAGGTATTCAAACTTAGTATTGAACTTAGGTATTGAACTCCAGGCCCAGTACTCTATTGACTGGGCCACCTAGTGCCCCTGATAATTCGTATTTTTATCTCTCCTGAACAGAGGGTGGCAAAAAGAACAAGTGAGATCCATCTACACAGAAGAACTGTCTGTGATTACTCGTGTTGATATAATTGCCCCACTGGTCATTAGTGTAAATGATCATCAACGTTTCTGATCCCTAAAGAAATTGATAATAGATAGGAAAGTAGTTTTAAAATTGATTGGGCATGCATTGATTTCCAGTGATTGTTAATGGCATTTGTTTTGACATAGTTATTTCTGTATGTGTACTCTGATAGCCTACCTCCCTACAAGCCCTCTGGTGTATGTGATTTTCTCAGCTGATGCTTACTGTCTTTATGACCTTGGCCAAGTTATAATTTTAAGAAATCAAAATTGTTTATTTTAGCTTTTATGAGAATCTCTGTCTCTTGTATAATTAAAAAGCCTTACCCTAGCATATTCATGTGGAAAACTACAGGATGTTAGTCTTTTTTAACTGGATTTTTTTCCCCCTTTTTTATTCTTTGCTGTGAGGGATGGGTAGCTAGTGGATAGAGTGCTGAGCCCGGAGTCAGGATGACACATCTCAGATCTGGCCCCAGATACTTACTAGCTATGTGACCCTAGGCAAATCATTTAACCCTGTTTGCCTCAGTTTCCTCATCTGTAAAATGAGCTGGAGAAGGAAATGGCAGACCACTCTAGTATTTTTGCCTAGAAATCCCTAAATGGGGTCAAGAAAAGTCAGACACAATTGAAAAAAACTGAACAACAAAATGAGGAATGGCCCTTTGGGAGAGGAAAGTAGAGGGATGCATTAAGAAATATGTGTTATAAAGGAGAAAAATATATCCATAACTTTTTTTAAAAATCTCCCCTTAGCCATAGTTGTGAAAGTGCCTTCCTCCTTTCTCCTCTAATTTTCTTTGTGATTGAGATATAACTGCTACATGTCTTGGAATTACAAGCTTGTGACTTTTCTCAGATGGTGAACTACCTGATTCTACCCATCATAGTTTCCCATCTGTTATACTTCTAGACAATTTTATTATTTTTTTCCTGGAGTATAGTATTCAGGCTTTTTAATGGTGACATATAATATTTAAATTATCTCTGCCCTCCAGTCTTCAAAGTCGATCATTTGGGATTATATAGAAATAGTTTGTTGTTTGTTTGCTTTTGAGACTGGATCTCCCTATGTCACCTAGACTGGAAGTGTTCAATTAGCATGGGAGCTTAGATCTGCCCCATTTCTGTCTCTGATTCTCCCCTTGTCAGGCAGCTTGGTGGACGCCACTCCTGGAGGGGCTCATACTGGTGCTGGACTTAGTGCAGGCACCTACTCAGCTTCAGCCCTCTTGTAGCTCAAAACACCTGAGCTCCAGTGATCCACCAGGCTCAGTCTCCCTAGTAGAAGGGATGACTGATGTGTATGACCGCATCTGGCTTCATGTATGTTTTTTAATTGTCTTTTATGTATGCTTTGCCAAATTTTCTTCCACTTCTAAATTTTTGAGTTCCAAATCTATCACCATCTTTTTCAAACCCTCTCTTATTTTAAAATATTCCCCATAATATACTCAAGTTGTCCATTTTATTGTCTTATTTCTTTTTTGACAGCTCTGATTCCTGACATTATTTTCATTTTAATTTCTGCTTTAAAATATTTTTTTTGTTTTGTACTATTCCAAAGTGTCTTGCTGTTACTCAGCTATTTCTGGGAAATACAAAATGTTTATTGTCTTGCTGTCTTTTTTCACAAGTAACTTTTGGTTATTTGTGTGTGTGTGTGTGTGTGTGTGTGTGTGTGTGTGTGTGTGTGAGTGTATGTATATGTGGAGAGAGAGACAGAGAGAGACAGAAAGACAGAGAGACAGAGAGAGAGAATGAATATCTCGCTGTAAGTTTATCTACTTAGCAGTTGGGCTTATATGCCCTTCCTTTCTCTCCTGGCCCTTTTGTCTTCTAGCCTTTTTCCTCTGTCCTCAGTAGTTAGACAGACTTTCCTCCTCACTATTTGACTCGTCCTCTTTCCACTAATGTGCTGCACATATATTCTTCTGCCCAGACCTCTGGGCCTAGGTAGAATCAGCTATTCCCTTCTAGGGGCCACGGAAGCACCGTTGGGTCCATGTGCGAATTCTGATGGGAGAGAACTAGATTTTTAGGGTTGTACCCCCACCTTCCACAGTTGTGCCCTCTCTCTGTTGTGCCACTGTCGGTGTTTTCTGCCTCTTACAAAGCAGGTTGGGTTCAGCCTGAATCACTGTCGTGGGGAGCCAGGGATGGGACCACCAAAGATGGAAGTGAGGCTGTTTGTGTCTCCATTGTGCAACACCCAGGCAACATGGGAGTGGTGTGAGTGAGTGGGAACTTCAGGCAATTTGATCTTCCACAGTTATTTCAGAAGATGATGCTGTTATCTCGTATAGAGATGCAGCTATCTTTTTGCGTCCATTCTAATTAATGTGAGTTAAGTGCATTTCCTACAGTTTTGAGGTTGGCAGTATACAGAAGTTACTCTGGAAACAGCTTATGTCACCATCTTGTTTGGTGATCCTCTAGCTCTCATTCTTCAAAGAAAAAAATTCACCAGCTGACTCCATATGCTTTTTAAAAATGTTTTATTGATTTAAAAAAAGATAGCATAATCACTTCTTAATAACCAGCTCCCACTGCAACAGACCCACACAGAGGACCTGTTCTTATATCAAAGATAATCAGTTATGCCAAACCACAAACTATCAAGTGACTGCATCTGGCAACATAGGAAACATTGTGTACCAATAATCTCTCTATTGAGGAGAAAAATGTATTTTATCGGGGATCTTCTGACTGTTCATATCACTGAATCTAATGTACTTTAAGGAAGCTTTTTTTAAAATGCCCTACAGTTGTACTCCTATCAATACTATATTTCAGGATTGTTTTTTTTTTTAACAATACATTGATTAAGTAGGAGCCAAAGGAATACAACAATAATATATCACCCTCTTAAAAACACTTATGCTTATTTATAGCAACAAAGGCTGAATCACTTTTTGCTGAGAGATTTTAAAAACTGTGCTAGATTGCCTGTGACTGAGATGTTCTATCAGGGGCAGTGGGTGCTTGATTAAAAGTGGGATACTTCCTTTGCTGTGGTTCTATGATTCTATGAGTGTCTAAAGATGCCAAACTACGTTGTCTGTTGCCTCTTTTCATCTCTAAGTCAATGTACATTTTCAGAAAGCTTTCTTTGGAAGGTTTTAGAAATATTGGAATTTTTAAAAAAGAACAGAGTTAAAGCAGTGCTTGAAATCTGTCTCTTTTCTTTTGAATAATCTGTTTGATTTTAAACAAATTTAGATACACAAGATTCACCGTGATTCAGGAGACAAGTCTCAGACAGGTGAGAGCATTGTAACAAATTATACGCGTTGGTGAGCCATAGCAGGTAACCCAGTGGAAATGAACCACAATCAGCCTTTATAGTGTTTAGTATATTCTGTCATGCTCAAAGATTAGACTCTTGAACTTCAAGTGGCAAGTTAGCAATTGTATTCCATATAGACAGTGAAGTCCACCATTTGCCCCTTTTAGTAAATGACTTTGTGCTGACTACAGCAACTTCAGAGCATCAGAGAGCCTACTTACTGAGATCCATAATTACTCAAAACAGTCTAACAATCCCAGCAGAGAAAACAAAGTGGATGAAAAATGTCTTTTGCCTACATATAATGTGGAATATGTTAGACAGCAAAATGAGTCAGTTCTTCAGTACATATATCTTTAATGGATATGGGCGATGAGCTGAATCCATAAATGACTAAGAGGAAGAGAGCAGACTGGATTGCATTTGGGAAGTTGAGTAGCATTTTTGCTACTCGGTTTTCTCCCTAAAATACAAATTCAGAATTTAATCTCAATATATTTCTGTGGGGTTATGACTTTAGAACATGGAATACCACAAACTACAGCTGGCCCAATGCTCAATAGAGGCATGTCTGGTGTGTATAAATGTAATAAGCAGCATTTCACCAATGATGATCTCAGTCAAGAAATCACATAAAAGACACCCAGGAAGTAGACAAGCAGAAATGGAAATGGGCATGTAATGAAAGTGATAGGTAACAGGTGCAAAATCTGAATGTTACTTTGGTACCCTCAGAGTGTTAAAAGACCTAGAAAAAGGCCTTCAGTGCATCGAATGGATCCTTTATGGCGGCTTTATGGGAGAACATTTAAAAGAGACATGCAGGGTGAGGATAAGTTGCCGTTTGCCCTCTTAAAGGTAGTACCTCTACCAATGAGGTAATAGATTTATGAAAGTATTAAAGTATATATATTTGGACAGGTACTACAGATAGATAGTAATCTGGGCTCTGAATTGGATAAAAGGAAAAAAGTGGGATAGATTGAATTTGGGAAATTAATATATTGCTTTCAGTGATTTTAGGCATTTGGCTCCCACAAAAACTTATCACTTTAACATGATTTTTCTTTTGGTAATGCTATCTGACTGTAAGTCATGGGACACTGCAATGTTTAAACAATTAAAATTGCACCGGACCCAAAGACAACTCTAAAGAAGCATGGTGGCAGTACGCTACCTATGGTGACATAATTAAGATCATGTGTAAGCAGAAGAGGAAGTAGGTAGTAAGTGGAAACACCTGACAGGCTGCATTGGCATCCTTAGAATAGAATTTTTTCTTAAAACAAAAGAAGGCCTCTAACATGCCGGGTGGATGTCCATGTGGAAGATTATGGAAAGACGTGGAAAAGAATAATATGGGAGATGTTGTGGACAGGTGGCAATGCAGACCAGTGGAGAGGATGCCCTCACTGAGAATCAAACATCCAGGTATGAAAGGAGATACACCGGCTCTAAGCATTTTAACAGCATTTCTAAATCACAATCATTCCCCTACAATGCAATTTTTACTTTCAAAAAATAATATTCTAATCATACCAAATATTTCTCTGATCATAAGTTCCATTAATAGGATATAAAGAAATAATTGTATCATTATACAAATAACAACACTGAGAATATCCTGTGTCTTTGTTACTATTTGAAGAGTACATATTTTATTGTTTCTTAAAATCATTTTGTAGTATGATATAGTATTTTATAGTAAAGGAGGCAAATTTTTAAGTATCCAGAGGACTATATGTGAAATTTCACATGTGAATACACTGAAAACTAATATTCTTCTCTTCTAATTTGATCTTCATAGAGTCTCACTCATTTAGATACAAGAACAGGAGGAAAGAATCTATTGATGTTAAATCAATAACATCTCGAAGTAGTGATGGTAAGAAAACTTCCTAATTTGTGTTTTTATTTGTTTTTTAACTGCAGAAAATAGGAGAGGGAAGACATCATGATAAGACAACTGATCAACATATAAGAGTTAAAATAATACAAAGGAAATAAGAAACTGACTTTCAGGGTATTTCTAAACATGTATTTTAATGGATTTTTTACAAAATAATTTGTATGGTTTCACAATATTTTTCCTCTAATTATATAGGTGATGAGGATAGAGTGCTGGTCTTAAAGTCCGGAGAGGCCTAGATTCAAATTCTCCTTCTGCCATTTAACCCTGAGCACTTTACTTAACCTATGAATCCTTCATGTAGTTTTTCAGTTGTTTTTTAGTTGTTTCTAACTCTTCCTGACCCCATTTGGGCTTTTCTTGGCAAAGATACTGGAGTGGTTTGCCATTTCCTTCTCTAGCTCATTTGACAGATGAGGAAACTGAGGTAAACAGGGTTAAGTGACTTGCCCAGGGTTACACAGCTGGTAAATGTCTGAGACTGGATTTGAACTCACACAGATGAGTCTTCCTGACTTCAGGCCCAGCACCCCATCCACTGTGCCACCTACCTGCCAAATTTACTGAATCCTAGGACAAGTCTATTAGGGTTATAATGAGAGAGAAAGAGAGATGATAGATAGATATAGATATAGATACAGATATAGATTTATACTAGTGTCATAGCCCAGCCTATATGATGAAATCACTAGTCCTTTGTGAATTCATCTCATTAACATAGCTGCAAAGGCAATTTAATTCATGCTTAAATCATATTGACTCCTATATATGTTTTTGGTTTTGGTTTTTTTGTTGTGTAAACTTAGGTTCAAAGGGGTGAGCATATGAAAGACACTCTCAGTATAATTTCTTTCTTATAATGTTGTTTGTTGATTTTAATTCAGTTAGGCTTTTTAAAAAAAAACAACTTTTTTCTGCCTCCATCTGCTTTCTCTTTTCTCAACATCTCAAAATTTCATCAACATCTCTTTTCTCAATATCTCTTTCCACATCACTGCTTATAGATTTTGTGCCTGTAAGATATTGTGAAATCAAACACCTGACAGGACATTTATCTCCCTGTGTTTGAGGACTAATTGATGCTTTTCATTGGATACCTTTACTAAACCAACAAGCACTTGAAGTAAAATGGATAGGAAATGGACATTAAAAGAATGTTTTTCTCCTTTAGGTCAGGCCACATGTTATTAGAGCTTCCAATAAGTAAGATTATAATTTAGCATGTTTTTACTACTAGTAAATGCAAGTTATTCATGAGGTTGAATAGAAAGACCCAAGTCAGAAAGTCAGGAGACTTTAGTACTAGACCTAGTTCAACTGTGTTCTATCAGTATGATAGAATTAGGGAGGAGAGAGAGAGACAGAGGGAGAGAGAGAGAGACAGAGAGAGAGAGAGAGACAGAAGGAGGGAGGAAGGAAGGAAGGAAGGAAGGAAGGAACGAACGAACGAACGAACGAACGAAGGAACGAAGGAAGCTAGGAAGGAAAAGAAAGGAAGAAGGAAAAAGAAAGAAAGAGAAAGGGAGGGAGGAAGGAAGGAAGGAAGGAAGGAAGGAAGGAAGGAAGGAAGGAAGGAAGGAGGGAGTAGGAGGTGATTTTAGGGAGAACATGAGAGTTTTAGACCCTCTGAGTTTTGAAGGGTAAGTTCCATGAGGGCAAGGGCTATCTCATTTTGGTCTTTGTATCCCCAGTGTCTGGCACAAAGCAGATACTTAATAAAGCTATTGATTGATCTAAGTTGAGATGTTCAGAAATATTAACCAACTGGCCCAAGTTCACACATCAAGTCCAATATTGAGGAAACTGAGAATAGGCTCAGGTCTCCTAATGGAGAGTCTCATGCTCCATTTTGATCTGACTTTCCTTATTGCATAAGAGCACCTTTGAACTGACAGTGGGGAAGAGATCCATTTGTTAGGAACGCTCCCTAGGTTGACATTTGAATAGGTTTCTGACATGTGCAAACTGGAGCTTTAACAGTGGCACAGTAGGCTTTCAGGATGGAATCTTTATCATCTTATCTTGCCTGAAAATTGGCCCCATTAATGGTTCTGTTATGTCAGATGTCCTTCCACCAATGTCATCCATTCTGCATAAATCTTGTCTTCTCTGGCTGGGCTTGTGCAGATGGTGGCAGGGTTCCTGACCATTCTGGAATAAGTGATGAGTGAATCCAGTCCTTTTTTGAAGAGTGCTATGGTGGTCCCACAGAAAGCAGAGCTGGGTTTTGAGCTGTTCTCAAAGGGACCTCAGTAGAAACAGTTCCTGCCTGAAGCTTTCAGCCGGCTTCTGCCACCAGCATTTAGTCCTTCTGTGCTTTTGAGGGTGTGTCCTCCAGAGTGCTATTGTTCTAAGGGACACATACCTTGTCTTGACAGCACCAAGTTTGCAGAATCGTCGTTATCCTTCTATGGCGAGGATCCACTCCATGACCATTGAAGCTCCGATCACAAAGGTAAAAAGCTGTGGCTCTTCCTGGTCTTTAAGCAGAAGCAATTGTCTATCTTGTCTCTGTGTGTTACGTATGTGTGTATGTGTGCATATATATACATGTGTATATATATATATATATATAAATACACACACACACATGTGTGTGTGTATGTGTGTGTGTGTGTAAAAACCTAGGTTAGGAAACATCAGGATGTAGTGAATGGAGAATAATCCATGGAGTCTGGAAGATCTGGAATGAAGTCCCCCCTCTGATAAATACTGGCTGTGTGACCTTGAGCCAGTCACTTAATCCCTCATTCCCTCTGGGAAATTTTCTAAGTCTTCCCTCTGTAGAGATGGTGTCAGTCTTCATTTGTAGAGGGAGTACCTCACCAGGAGCTCCCTGGACCCATTGAATCACAGATCTGGTCCCAAAAAAATCCTAAAAAACTTGAGGTGATACCAATCTTTTCCTATTGATATTGTACTTTTTAAATAAATTGTTTAAAAGCATTTAGAAATATCAATCAATCAGACAGTCAACAAGTATTAAGTTCTCACCCTGTGCCAGGTACTGGGGATACTGGGGATACATAGAAAGCCCAAAACACTGTCCCCAAGGATTTCACATTCTAATGAGGAAGATAATAGGCAAACAACTCTGTAGGTAAAATATATACAGAGGATACATTGGAGGCAATCTCAGAGGGATAAAACTAGATGGAATGGAGGGGGGGGTAGGAAAGACCTCTTGCAGAAGGTGGGATGTTGTTGTGTTTGTCTTTTGTTCTCAAAGAGGACCATGACATCGGGGGAGATAATGACATGACTTGCAACTGACTTTGTTTTGAGGGAGGGATGGCTGTTCAAGGTCCCCAGCCTTGCTTTCTCCTCCAGAGCCATTTGGATCCAGTAGCCAGATACTCATCATGATGACTGGAGATAGCTCAAGATGCAGTGGGAGACCCTGACCTTTTCAGGTTCTCACTTTGGGTGAAGCAACATCCGTTTAGGGAATAGGCCTCTTTAAGAAATGAGTCAAAGGGGGCAGATAGGTGGCACAGTGGATAGAGCACTGGCCCTGAAGTCAGGAGGACCTGAGTTCAAATCCGGGCTCAGACCAAATACTTGACACTTACTAGCTGTGTGACCCTAGGCAAGTCACTTAACCCCAATTGCCTAAAAATTAAAAAAAAAAGATTGAAAAAAAGGAAATGCGTCAAGGGATGGCCCCTTTAATAAAATAAATAAATAGATAATAGTGGGCGGCGAAGACCTTCAGGGTTGCTGGCCAAAAGAGAAACAGTTACTATTTACATTCACTCTGAGCCAGAAGGGTCCAAAAAATAACCATTAAGTGATGCTTGGGCAGGGACCTGTTGTCCAATCTGTGAGTGAATTGGGTTTAAGACTTGGTCTTTGAGAGAGAAGTTCAGCCAGTAAACCCCAAGTTAAGTAGGCAGCTTTTGGCCATCAAAATTTACCTTCCTTTGGGCAGAACACCCTCAGGTAAGGGGAGAGGAGAGGAGAGGAAAACATAAAGTGAGGAGAGGATGAGGTGAATTACCCAACTGGAACTGGCCAGCTGGGTCCCCGTTCAGGCAGCTTAGACTACTGACAGGGTGTGTTTGTCCTTTGTTCTCAAAGAGGACCATGACATCTCTGAGTCTCGATGGAAGCCAGAGGCAGAGATAAGAAAAGAGAGCATTCCCTCATAAAGGACAGCTAGTGGAAAGGCTGGAGTCAGAAGGAATCTCATATGCAGAGAATTCTTACTTTATGTAAATTCCTATTTTGTAGCGGGACACCACAGATCTGGGTCTGGCTCTGGCTCTTGGAAGGTCGTGGCAGAGGTATCCCATGCTAGAGGTCCTCCACTCTGCAGAGGAGGAGGGGTGGCCCAGGCACTGAAGCCACTGGACTGCACGGCCACAGGTCACAGAACCTTGGAGGGCATGGAGCCACACAGAGCCCAGAGGAGAGGGAGGAGAGGTTAAAATAACATTAAGTGAAAATTGGCTGTGTGAGGAACAGAAAGAACACCAGTGTTGCTGGATTATAGAGTACTTGCAAGGGAAATAAAATATAAGAAGGCTGGGAAAGTAAAAAAGGCCATATTGTATAAGGGCTTTAAAAGCCAAGTAGAGGATTTTCTAGTTGATCCTGGAGGTAACAGAGTGCAATTGGCATTTGAGGAGAGGAGTGATGTGGTCAGAAAAGTGCTTGGAAGATCACTTTGGCAGCTGCATAGAGGGTGGTCTAGAGTGGGAAGGGATGTAAGTAGAGGCATTTACAGTAGTCCTAGGGAGAAGTGATGAGGGTCTGTACAACAGGCTGTGTCAGAGGACAGAAGGATATGTACATGAGAAATATTGTGAAGGTAGAATTCATAGAACTGGGCAAGAGATTGGATATATGGGGTAAGTGTGAGCAAGGCATTGAAGATGATACCTAGATTACAAGTGTGAGTGGCTCGGAGGATGGTGGTGTTCTTGACCATGATAGAGAAGCTCACAAGAGGGAAGAGTTTGGGGGGAAAGATAATGAGTTCAGTTTTAGACGGATTGAGTTTAAGATATATATGGAACATCAGTTTGAGACATCCATTTAGTAGATGGAAATGCTGAAGGTCAAGAGAGAGGATAGGGCAGAATAAATAGATTTGGGAATCATCAGCATAAAGATGATAATTTAAAATAAGGGAATTGATAAGCTCACTAAGTATATGATATGGTAATATATTTTGCGTGATTGGCCGTGTACAACCTATATCAAATTGCTTACCATCTCAGGGAGAGGTGAGGTGAGGGAGGGAGAGAGAAAATTTGGAACTCAAAATTTTTGAAAAGCAAACGTTAAAAATTGTCTCTACATGTAACAGGGGAAAAATTTTTTAAATTATTTTTTAAAAGTAAGCTACTGTCTATAAAAAGCTCAATGATCTTAGAAAAACATGCAAAGACTTGCACGAAATAATGAAAAGTGAAATGAGCAGAACCAAGAGAACATTGCATACAGTTAATAGCAATATTATTTTAAGAATGACTTTGAGTGACTAAGTCATTTTGACTATTATAAATATACAAATTAACTATAAAGGACATATGAAGAAAGACACTATCTTCATCCAGAACTGATAAATAGAAGTGTGTATAGAATAATTCTACATATATATGTATATGTATATGTATATACATATACATGCATACATATATACACATACATATATGTATGTATATACATATATACACATACATACATATATACATATACGTGTATGTATGTATAGACATATATACATATATACATATATGTATGTATATACATATGTACATATACATACATATATACATATACATATATGTATGTATGTGTGTGTGTGTATTATATATATATATATATATATATATATATATATATATATATATGTCTAATGGTAGCCATCACCTTCCAGGGAAGAAAAAAAAAGAAATCTACATGATGACTTTATTATATATTTAAAAGGAATAGCAAGTTGTACATAATAGATTTACAGTTTGATGTGCAATCTTTTTTATTATACTATGTTATAGGAATACTTGTTTTATTCCATAAATTTAAAAATATATTTTTTAAATATAAAATAGTATAGAGGAAGAAGAGAATAGGGCCAAGAACAGAGTCTTGGGGGGCTATGTGGTGCAGTGGATAGAGTACTGGCCCTGGATTCAGGAGGGCCTGAGTTCAAATCCGGCCTCAGACACATAATACTTACAAGCTGTGTGACCCTGGGCAAGTCACTTAACCCTACTGCCTAACCTCCTGCCCCCCCAAAAAAAGAACAGAGCCTTGAGGAAGACCCATGATTAGTGGGCATGACTTGGATGAAGATCCAGCAAAGGAAACTGAGGAGTGGTCAGATGGGTGAGAGGAGAATTAGGAGACAGTAATATCATAAAACACATGAAGAAAAAAGAGTGATTGTGTCAGAGGCTGCAAAGATATTAAGAAGGAAAGGATTGAGAAAAGGCTCTTAGATTTGGCAATTAAAGCGATTATTGGTAACTAGAGAAAGAAGTTTCAGTTTCATAATGTCAGAAATCAGACTTGAGAGTTAAGAAGTGATTTAGAGGAAAGAATGTAGAGGCATCAACTATTAATGACTTGCTTTCTCAAGGAGTTGAGCCAGAAAAGAGGAGAGATTTAGCATTATAGTTGATGGGGATGGATGAATCAAGTGAGTGTTGTTTTTGTTTTTGTTTTTAATTAATGGCAGAGACATGCTCCTGTTTGTACACAGCAGGGAGGCAGCCAGTAGATAGAGATTAAAGATTAGTGAGAGTGAGAATGATAGAGAGGACAATCTGCTGAAGAAGATGGGATGAATTGGGATCAAAGGTGTATGTGAAGGAATTTGCCTTGGCAAGGAGAAAGGCTATTTCTTTATGTGAGACAGAAGTAGAAGAGGAGATGGGAAAGGAAGACATCTGATTGATATGAGATGAAACGAGGGTGTTCTTGGAGCATACCCTCATTTTTTTTCAGTGAAGTATCAGAGTTCTTAGCGGAGAGGACGGGGAAAAGGATGGCCTGGGAGGTTTGAGGAAGAATGAAAATATGTGGAATAGCCCTATGGCCAGTGGTATAGTGAATCAATTAGGAAGATATAAAAGAAGTGTCTTGCTGCAATGAGAGCCTAGTTGATATTACATAACACAAATTTATAGCAGACCTAGTTATCACAGTTTTGTGATTTTCTCCAGCTCTGATCAGCAGTGTGTGAATCAGACAGAAAGCATCAGATGGCAGGACTGAGGCTGACAAGGCGTACCAATGACAGTAGAATAAGGGGGTAAAGCACTCCAGTGCAGAAGATAGTGAAGAGGTAAGCTGGCTCACCAAGGAGCTAGATGGTGAAGAGAATAGAGTTCAGCCAGCGAAAGAGTGATGGCTTGGGAAACAATTGAGATGTGAGGGACCGGATGATGAGGATGAAGAACAGGATGTAAGGCAAAGGGAAAAATGGAACGATAATAGATTAAGGTCAGATAAAAGAATTTCAGAGTTCATGAACATGGAAGTAGAATGATAGCAGATCAAGGTTATCATTATTGTGTAGCTGCTGAGGTGGAATGAAGAGTTGGGCATGGGAAATAGGTAGATTGAGGAACTGGGAAGTTAAGAGCATTTGAAGGGATATTATTATCTGTAATGGAGCCCCATTGTTTGAGGGCAGAACTTGGAGTGGAGGGAAAGTTCGATGACCTAGACACTGAACTCATTGAGGAAGGAGAGTATCTTAAGAGTCAGTAGATAGTTACCAGCATCTTGATTGGGCCATAAATATGGATTGAATGAACTTCAAGGAAGAAAAAAAATGCTAAGTGTGCTGGTAGAGGGATGTGGAAGTGACAATGGGGAGCAAGGAGTAGTAACTTCTCTACTATGCTCAGTGAGTACCAAAAAGGGTGGCCATTAAGATGGAGCCAGGTCTCAGACAAAAGATGGAAGGAATGAAAAAAGGAAAAGGCTGAACACGAAAGCAAGTTTGTTAACCATGGACCTGGCATTAGAGATGCTACAGTGTAATGGATGAGTAGCTCTGGAGTGGTACATTGAGGATGGGGGATTAAGGTTGAGGAGGATGGGTATAAGAGAGCAAATTTAGAATGGGATTTATACAATGACAGCCAGGGGTTCAGAATCTCCAGGATGGGAAAGAATATGATCAAGTGGTAATATGTTGACCATTGAGGATTGAATTGAGGAAGAAAGCTGATTTCATTTAGGCCCAGGAGCCAATGAACAATAGTTACAGCAAAATATGCACTTTTGCATCTGGATGCAAGATCTGGATGTCTATATAATTAATTCATATTCTCTCTCTCTCTCTCTCTCTCTCTCTCTCTCTCCATCTATCTTTTCCCCCCTCTCTTTCTCTCTCCCTCTCTCTCTCCTTCTCCCTCCTTCTCCCTCTCTCCTTCCTCTATTCAGGTCATTAATATAATCAATGCTGCCCAAGAGAATAGCCCAGTAACTGTAGCAGAAGCCTTGGACAGAGTTTTGGAGATTTTACGAACCACAGAACTCTACTCTCCTCAACTGGGCACTAAAGATGAAGATCCCCACACTAGTGATCTAGTTGGAGGGCTGATGACTGTAAGTAATAATGGAAAATCATATTTTTGGAGAAAAAAAAACCAAACTTCACCGAGGCAAATTTTGTCAAAAACAAACTGGTGCAGTTTGCAAACTTTATAGCACTGTAGATATCTCAGTAATTGTTACCATTATTGTAGGCAACTAGCACTGCAATGGACAGAGTACTGGGCCTGGAGACAGGAAGACCTAAGTTCAAATCCATCCTCAAACCCTTATTAGCAATGTGACCCTGGGCAAGTCATTTAACCTCTTTTTTCCTCAATTTCCTCCACTGTAAAATGACGGTAATAATAGTCTCTATTTCACAGGGTTGTTGTGAGGATCAAGTGAGATAATATTTGTAAAAAAAAAAAAAGCTTTGCATAATGATTGGCACATAGTAGGTGCTACAAAAATGCTTATTTCCTTCCCCTTTCCCCTTATATAGGAGTGGGGGGAGGGGCAGAGCCAAGATGGTGGAGTAAAAGCAGTGACTTGCTTGAGCTCTCCCCCAAACCTCTCCAGATACCTGGAGGTAAAAAATGGCTCTAAACAAAGTCTAGAGCAGCAGAACTCACAAAAAGACAGAGTGAAACAAATTTCCAGCCCAAGACAACCTGGATGGTTGATTGGAAAGGTCTATTGCACCAGGCTGGGAAAGGAGCACAGTTCAGCATGAGTGCACAGGCAAAGACCAGGCCTCAGCAAACCTGGAGCAGGTCTCAGGGGACTGAATCATGGGCAGCTGTGGTGGTTTCCAGACTTCTCAACCCACAAACACCAAAGACAACTTAGAAAGTCAGTAGGAAAAGTCTGTGTCTGTGGTGAGAGAGGAGCTCAGTCCCAGCCCCAGTCCCCGTACAGCCCCGGGGTGGTGGCTACTTCCAGAGCTCTTGGCCCACAGATGGAGGGGGAACTGAGTGGCTGATCAGAGGGGGATTGCAAGGATCTCTTTGCTGGTGCTGCGGCAGGAATCTCTTGCTTTGCCCCTGCTTGGATCTGGGTCACAGTTCTGGGGAGTGGTTCTGGGGCAAGGAGGAGTGCTAGCATGGTGGAGCTTGTAGTGGTGATGAAGAACGAATCTTCCTCACAGTTTCAAGGCAGAAAAGAGTGCTCGTGGTCACTCATAGATCAGAGCACAGGCCAGAAAAGGAGTAAACACCTTGCCCCAGTTGTACCACTTTGGAAGAACTGAAAATTTACAGGTCCCTACAAGTATCTCTGAAAACAGATGCACAAAATCCCCGAAGCTTGGAACAGTACATTCTCCATGCTGGAAGTAGACCCTTACCTTAACAAAGAGTTTAAAACTCACGTAATTGGCTGGGATAGTGAGCAAGCAGCTCAAAGAGCCAGACTATGTTATGTTACTTTGGTGACAAAGAAGATGGAAACATACAACCAGAAGAAGACAACAAAGTCAAAGCTCCTTCATCCAAAGCCTCCAAGAAAAATATGAATTGGCCCCAGGCCATAGAAGAGCTCAAAAAGGATTTTGAGAAGCAAGTAAGAGAAGTAGAGGAAAAACTGAGAGTGATGCAAGAAAATCATGAAAAACAAGTCAACTTTGTTAAAGGAGACCCCCAAAAAATACTGAAGAAAATAATACCTTAAAAAAATAGCCTAGCCCAAATGGCAAAAGAGGTCCAAAAACCCAATGAGGAGAAGAATGCCTTAAAAAGCAAAATTGGCCAAATGGAAAAGGAAGTCCAAAAGCTCACTGAAGAAAATACTTCCTTAAAAAGTAGAATGGAGCAAATGGAAGCTAATGACTTTATGAGAAATCAAGAAATTGCAAAACAAAACCAAAAGACTGAAAAAAAATAGAAGATAATGCGAAATATCTCATTGGAAAAACAACTAATTCATTATATACAAGTGGTTATTATTATTGCTACCATTATTTTATTATTATTTTTATATAGCAGCATGGTAGCAATCATGACTTGTGTACAAGGAGAAGGCAATGATATTATTGAGAACATGTATGACTGATTAATGATGCGGGTTGTTATGTAATAAGAAAATGAATGGGGCAGCTAGGTGACACAGTGGATAGAGCACTGGCCCTAGAGGCAGGAGGACCTGAGTTCAAATCTGGCTTTAGGTGCTTACCAGCTGTGTGACCCTAGACAAGTCATTTAACCCTAATTGCCTAAAATAAAAAAGAAAAAGAAAATTAATAAAGAATAAGAATCACATTTGAGTTGTGATTTAAAATTTACAAAGCATTGTAGTGAGAATCTGAGAGAAAGCAACAGGGGGCAGCTCAAGAAGTATACTGGAAATTGCCATAATATGGAGAAAAAAAGTAAGAGGCCTCCACTGTACTGGATAGAGGAACTTTGGAGGATTAATGGAGGAATATGAACAAAAGTTGAAAATAATGAGATGGTATGGAGGACTTTCATTCTGCGTCAGTAGAGAAAGTGTTTTCAATGATAAAATCAAGGTGCTATTTTGATTGCATAGTCATCTTGATTTTATTTATTTTCAGTTCAGGTCCTCAAGTTAATAGGCTAAGGGCAGTTGCCTCTGACCATCCTCTGGCTATTGTTCTGATCTAGTCCTGAGCCCTTTGTTTGGAAGTGCTTTACTCCTTGATAGGCACCAAAGTACATCCTTTCTAGTGCTCTGGGTTGGAGTGTCGAGGGAGGAGAAAGAGCCCAGAAGAAGAGTGGTCTGTTAACAAGAATACTGGGTCAGTAAATTCCTACTACTTACAACATCTTTCTTTATTTCAGGATGGCTTGAGAAGGTTATCGGGGAATGAGTACGTGTTTTCTAAAAGTAAGTTTCATCTAACTTGTGCCTCATTTCACTTGATATTTCCAACTTTCTTCAGGTCATGTGCCAACCTACCATGTAGGACTTATTATTTATATTGATTTATCTAGTAGAGAAGGATGAACTGATCCTTTTCCAGTTGTTAAGTCATGAAACATAGATGTGCCATCAGTAATTTTTAAAATTCATGGGGCAGCTAGGTGGTGCAGTGGGTAGAGTACTGGCCCTGGATTCAGGAGGACCTGAGTTCAAATCTGGCCTCAGACATATAACACTTACTAGCTGTGTGACCCTGGGCAAGTCATTTAACCCATTGCCTAGCTCCCCCCCCCAAAAAAAAATTTAAAATTCTGCAGATATTTTTCAGGTGCTTTAGTGTTTTTCCATGAGTCCTAGTAACATTTCAGCTTATATAAAAAAGTCTAGGATTTCCACTTCTCACCTGATTAGGAAAGGAGATTTTGTTCAGTTTATAGTTTACTATAGGTCATTTAGTCAGGATTCTACTTTTTTTAAATGAATAAATTAGAATGATTTTTTACTTCATCCCAGTTGAGCATGTGTTAGAACCATCTCTCTGTCCTTGGTTTATAACTGGGTCTTCTAATTAAAATCATTGATCTGAAAAATGTCAAAAATACAAATCTAAGAAAAGACAAATTTCTATTTGTTTTATGGATTTAATAAGTCAGCTAGGCTGACCTAGATGCTTTAAATATCACAGCTTAATAATACAGAAAAGGAGTTCCTGAAATTAAAATTTCCTACTTTGGAGATCCTGAAAAGGCTTTTTAAAAAAAATTGGAGATAATAAAAATGATTAAATACTCTATGACCCTCTATCAGGTTCTAAGTCCATAATTAACATTCCCTTTCCATCCTCCCCCATCTCTCCAGTCTTAAGGCCATGATTCTCATTCAGCTTCTCATCATCTTTCACCTAGACTATGGCAGAAATCTTTTACGAGGTCTGGTCTCTCCCCTTTCTAGTACATCTTCCACAGATGCCCAAGTGATTTTCCTGAAGCATCAGTGTGACCGTATCATTCTCCTGCTTGGAAAAACTTCAATGAAAGTTGTCTCTGGAATAAAATCCAAAACCTCTTTGGCATTTCATGTCTTTCACAATCTGGCTCCAACTATCTTTCTAGACTAATTTCACATTGCTACCCTTCCTTATACATTATGCTTCCAGCTAAAGCAACTTACTTGCTTTTTCCCATACGTGTCATTTTATCTCCTTCTTTGCCTTTGCTATTGACCATACCTGGAGACCTGGGCTGCTAGGTGGTGCGGAAGATAGAGTTAGGGAACCTGAATTCAAATCTAGCCTCAGACACTTACTAGCTGTGTGACCCTGGGCAAGTCACTTAATCCTGTTTGCCTCAGTTTTCTCATCTGTAAAATGAGCTAGAGAAGGAAATGGCAAACCACTCCCGTGTCTTTGCCAAGAAAACCCCAAATGGGATCACGAAGAGTCAGACAGGACTGAAATGACATAGCTGGAAACACCTTAGCTCCTTTCAAGGCTCAGCTGATGTACTACTTCTTCCACGAGGTCTCTGTTGATAGCTTTTGATGCTCAGTCTTCTTTCCACTTCCCAAAATTACTTTGTATATATCTTGCATCTACTCATCTGTGTACGTGTTGTCTTCCCTCCCATCCTTCCATTCACCTCTCCCCTCAAGTCAGATAGAAGCTCCTCAAGGCCAAGGACTGTTGTATTTTTGTCTTGGTATTTCCAGCACCCCAGCACAGTGTTTACCCTGATGGGTAGTAGATGTTAAATATGTGTTTGCTGAATTCGGTTAAATTGTTTCTGCAGACATGCACCACAGTCACAGTCATCTTTCACTGCCAATCACGATCAATGATGTTCCACCTTGTATTGCACAATTACTCGATAATGAAGAAAGCTGGGACTTCAACATCTTTGAATTAGAAGCTGTCACACATAAAAGGTACTGGGCTCCTTTGGGCATATGTAAGGGCAGGGGCTGGAGGTGCAGGTTCCCGTAGTTTTAAATTTGGGAGTTCAAGAGGTAAAGTCAGGCTTCAGTGCCTTTGCCTTTTCAGCAGAGATTGAGAGGAGGCATAAAATGAGCATATATGCTCTGTCATTGAGCATGACCCTTTGTGGAGAAGTAACCCTAGGGGACCAAGCATGGGATAAGGTTGATTGGAACTCAAGAATGAAGTAATGTGGCTGGGTTTCATTCCAAAATCTCCTAGGATAATTTATTACTGCTGGTGTACCAGGAATGTACCAGGCAGGTATAAATATCAGGACTGAGCTAAGTTCCAAATTTGTTAAAGCAACAGATGACTTAATTGAATTTATGGGCTCAAGGAGCAAGAAAATAGCTTTTGATTTGAGTGGGATGGCTTACACGTAGTCCCACCTGAAAGCCAAGAGAAGGGTGAAATGACCTCTCAAGATCACTTTCTAGCCCAAGGATCCTGTGAAAGGAATATTCCTCTCCAAAGGTGTTGGGCTAGGGCTCAGGGGCATTTTGTTAAAGCCGTTGAAAAATAATTTTGGAATCTAGTAACTCTAAATTGTATGTGATCTCAGATCTATCATCGTGTACAGATCAGGGAGAGAACAAGGAGAGAAATCCAAAGACTTGCCATTTGTCACAGTTATTAAAGCTTCTGATGAACTGGAGATAACCTACTAATGTTTTGGGTAGACTGCCATAACACATCTGTTCAGGAATCAGTGCTAGATTTAAGGAGGCAGTGCCAAGCAAGTTCTTTTTATTTTCCAAAGATGCTTTTTTACCTCCTGGACATATGAAATTGGGCAGTGGGGTAGGGTGGGGGTGGGGTGTTGGGGAAACAGAAAAATGTCATTGTCCTTTCCTTATCAGTAGAAGAGAATAAGAGCTTGGCAAAGGAATGAAATGAGCCAGATTTTTTCTTTCAATTTAATTTCTCTAGGCCGTTGGTTTACCTGGGGTTAAAAGTCTTTGCCCGCTTTGGGGTCTGTGAGTTTTTGAACTGTTCAGAAGCCACTCTTCGGGCGTGGCTGCAGGTGATTGAGGCCAACTACCACTCATCAAACTCATACCACAACTCTACCCATGCTGCAGATGTCCTGCATGCAACGGCATTCTTCCTTGGAAAAGAGAGAGTGAAGGTAAAACTGTCATAGGATGACCTCCGTGGTTATTCTTGGACATATATATGTATATGTATGTATGCATACATACATACATACATACACACACACACACACACACCCTGTCTTAACATCTGAGAGAGGTTGTTTTACTATCAGCAGAGATTTAACTCTGTGTTTCATTTTGCCAACAGTTTACTAAAGTAGCTACTTGTGCTTACAGAAGTTGGGGGAAGAAAATAGGCATTTATCTAGTGCTTATTGTATGCCTGGCACTATATTTAAGTGCTTTTTAAAAATAATGAAGAGCGAAACGAGCAGAACCAAGAAAACATTGTATCAGTAACAGCAATATTGTTTTAAGAACAACTCTGAGTGAGTGAGTCATCTTGACTATTATAAATACCCAAATTCACAATAAAGGACATATGAAGGAAGATACTATCTGCATCCAGAGAAAGTAGTGATAAATAGAAGTATGTGTAGAATGATTTTACACACACACACACACACACACACACACACACACACATTTGTGTCTAATGGTAGCCATCTCTGGGGGAGGGCAGGGAAAAAAAAGAAAGAAAGAAACTTACATGATAACTATATTATTATATATTTAAAAAGAATAGCAAGTTGTATATAACAGATTTGTAGTTTCATGTACAATCATCTTTTTATTATACTATATTATGGAAATGCTTGTTTTATTCTATAAATTAAAAATAAAATTAATAAAATTTAAAAAATAAAATACATATACTAAAAATAAAAATAGGACAAAAATATTATTTGACTTGATCCTCACAAAAACTCTGTGAGGTAGGTGTTGTTATTATCCCCATTTTACAATTAGGAAACCAAGACAAAGAGAAGTTAAATAACTTGCCAAGCGTCAAACAGCTGGTATGAGTTAAAATTGTATTAAAATTGACCATCTATGTACATATTATCTATGTTATATTATATTATGATGTGGTATGTTATATTATTATGTATTCTAATATAGTATGTTATGTTATATTATTTTATATTTTATTATATTATCAAGTCTGTCCAATTTGTAGTTAGAGTCACCCCCCCAAAAAAAAAACATTATCCTGCCCTCATTTTTATCACCTTCCACAAATTTTTGCAAACCTGTAACACTTAGGGCCCTAAAAACTGCTATGAACACAGGTTACCCTCTTATAGATTCTGTTGGCCTGCCTTTCTTATTTATATATGCTTTTCTCTCATCACTTTTCCTTTCATTCTTTCTCATCCACCTTTGTTCCCCATAGTAGATAGTGACTCTGTCTAAATAGTGCTCAATACAGGGTTTGACTGATTTTTTTAGAAACTCAGTTGGTTTTGGTGATGCAGTTTCTTTCTGCCTTTCACACGTGCGTAAATTAATCTGTACATTTAAAACAACCTCTGCCTCTGTGGCTGATGCATACGTACACAACCCATCAGATACATTTATAGCGTTGGTGTTCAAGGATCAGACTGCTAATGCTGTGCCAAGTTATTCTCGTATATGTTTAGTTTCAGGAGACATAATATCAATTCAATTTAATTAACAAATATTTGTTAAGAAACTACTTCCTACTAGGCACTGTGCAAAATGACAGGCATAAAGAGAAAATGAGACAAACTGCCCTCAAGGAGCTTACGTTCTTCTGGCAGTATGTGACCCAAAGGGCAGCTAGGTGGCACAGTAGATAGAGCACTGGGCTTGAAATCAGGAAGACTCATCTTCATGAGTTCAAATCCAACCTCAGACATTTACTAGCTGTGTGACCCTGGGCAAGTCACTTAACCCTGGTTGCCTCAGTTTTCTCACCTGCAAGATGATCTGAAGAAGGGAGTAGCAAAGTACTCCAGTATCTCTGCCAAGAAAACCCCAAGTGGGGTCCATGAAGAGTCAGACGTAACTGAAATGACTCAATAACAACAATAGTATTCAAAGTCATGTAGTAGCAAGTAACTCAGTATTTTACTATATTTGTATCGATTCATTCATAAATTATAAACATATAAAACTCTTCTATGTATTTCTACCTCTTCACCTCTGCTTCTTAGAATCCTTAGCTTTTTCAAGGTTCAGCTCCAGTGCCACGTCCCCTGGGAAGTTTTTCTTGATCTCCCCAGGTCTTTAGTGCTCTCTTTTCCATCATATTATCTTATATTTACTTATCTATTTATATTTGATGGCCCTCAGTGATAGTTAATGGCTAGCATCTATATAAGGCTTTAAGGTTTGCAAAGTGTCTCATTTTATCCTCCTCAAAACCCTGGGAGGCAGGCAAAATGCTATTGTGATCACCATTTTATATTTGAGGAAACTGAGGCTGGGAGAGGTTCAGAGACATGCCCAGGTTCACATGGTTAGTAACCGAAGCCAGATTTCAACTCAAGTCTTCCTGACTCCAAGTCCAATACTTTATCCACTGCACCACCCACTGCCCCAGGAGAACTAGTGAGGGCAGATCCTTTTTGTCTTTATATCCCTAGTGCCCAGTTGTTGTTGTTGGTGGTGGTGGTGGTGGTGGTGGTGATGGTGGTGGTTCAATTGGGACTGATTCTTCAGGACCCCATTTCAGATTTTCTTGGCAGAGATGCTGGAGTGGTTTGCCATTTCCGTCTCCATTTTACAGATGAGGAAACTGAGGCAAACAGGGTTAGGTGACTTGCCCAAGGTTGCACAGCTAGCAAGTATCTCAGGCTGGATTTGAAGTCAGGTCTTCCTGACTCCAGGCCTGGCTCTCTATCCACTGTGCCACTTAGATGCCCGTAGTGTCTAGTACAGAATGTCAGTTAATCAGTGAATCAGTCAACCATTTTATTAAGCTCCTATGATACCAGTTGTGGGGGATACAAGTACCAAAAGATGAAACAATGCCTGCTCGAAAGGGGGAGCAAGTCTATACCTACATCTATATCTGTACATCAGAAATAGAAAGTGAATAAATCCAAATATACACAGAGAAGTTAAACAGGGGAAGGTGCTAGCAGTTGACAGAATCAGGAAGGGCTTCATGCAGAAGATGGTGTGTGAGCTGTATGATAAAGGAATTGAGGGAGTCTGTAAGGCAGAGGTAAAGAGGAAGTGCATTCCAGGCACGTGAAAAGGTGCATACATATGCGTTGAATGTGTATGTACATATATGTGTGTATACATGTGTGTGTGTATAGGGGAGCATTTCTGATCTTTATCTTGCCACTGGATCCAGACAGCTCAGGAGAAAGTGAGGCTGGTGGCATTGCACAGCCCTCCCTCACTTAAATCCAGTTCATGTGCAAGTCATGGCATCACCTCCCTGATGTCATGGCCCTCTTCAAGAATGAAGGACAAACAACAACAGCATATATATAGTGTATATGTGTATACACACATATGTATGTATCAACATAAACATAGGCTTCTAGATAGACAGATGTGTCTAGGTATGCGTGTATATGTATGTGTGTGCATATATACATGCATACATGCACTGCATGTATGCACACATGTATGTAGATGTGTGTGTGTGTGTGTGTGTGTGTATGTATGTATATAATTAGGCACATTGATCTGGGCACTCTTGATGATTTGAGTCCTCTTAATCCACTAGATGAAACAAAAGAATGTAAGACTCAGGTAACAGAAACAAAGGTTGCCTCTCCCCTCAGACTTTGAGCGACTCATTTGCGTATAAGAGTCAGGAAGGTAGTTTAGGATTGCCTTGGGTAAATGGGAAGGACTGAGAGTTTACAAGCAGAACCAGCCTGACTTCATAATTAGACCTTTGATATGGTTGAGAAGAGAATTAGCTATGGAGAAAAACTTCAGTTCCTGAGTTCACTCTTTACCTTTTCCTTTGTGCCACCTGGGGGAGGGAGTGGGGGGGGCAAGGAGAAGGGGAAGGTATTGATCTCCTCACTTCTGTCTGCAATGGTATCTTGCAGCAGAAGGACATGGTAGTGTCCAATGGAGGGGCAGAGAGCACTGGTAAAGTTCAGCAAGGTGGGAAGAGAAGGATTTCCCCCTCCTCCTCACATCAGAAGTGGTATCTTATAGCAGACACGTGAAGCAGCATGCAATGGAGCAGAGTGTCCAGTCACAGAGATGAGTCAAGTCCACTGTGCAGGAGGAGTCAAGCCTGTTGCTTACAGCTGCAGTCTTGCTCAGGAAATGGGAGGATTTGGCTGAGACCCCTGCTGGTCCTAGGGTATGGGTTCCAGTTCTTATCAAGAGTATAGTAGCACCCTAGGCTAAGATTTCAGATAGTAGAGATTGTAGCCAACATCTGTTGGTCATAAGATATGGTTTCTGGTTCTTTTTAAAAATATAGCAGCACCTTTGTCCAGGATTTTAGCTGAGCTTGAAGCTAGAGATCACAGCCAAGCATTGGAGTTCTGTGCCCTGCCCAGGAGTTAGCCCAGAAGAGCCTCAGTATTCTGCCAAAAGAATCATGAAGACATCATAACAACAGACAGAGAGGCAGCGAGGTGGCCCAGAGGACAGGGCGCTGGCCCTGGAGTCAGGAAGACCCGAGTTCAAATATGGCTTTAGACACAAGCAATGTTCCCTGGGCAAGACACTTAAATCACCACCTGCCTCAGTTACAGGGATAATAATGGCAACAACTTTCCAGTGTTATTGTGAGGATCAGATGAGATGTAGGTGCTTAATAAATGCTTGTTTCTTTCCCTTCTTCATGGAGGTATGGAGGTATAATTTACCTTGGTCACATGTGTTCCCTCTGGGTGTGCCTCTCCACTTGTGAACTCTCTGTGCATTCATTCTTCTCACAATCAGGATATGTCTTTGTAGAAGAGTGTGCTTCAGGTTTATAGGAGAGATATTTTGTTGCTAGTTGCTTCTTACTACACTATTTCAATAAATGCTTTTGACTTGAGCTAATTTTTTTCTCTGGCTAACCAGAGAGAAGATAAACATACTGGTGGGGGCTCATGAGCTAAAGTTTTGAGAGTATAGAGACAGAGAGAGAGGGATTAAGCAGGTTACACATGGCCAGAAGGAATGCAGGTAATTAGTCCTGATCCAGAGAGGATAGGCAAAGAACTAGCCATTCCTAGCCTTTGAGAAATAACTTCGATGTACCTTAGTCCAAGTAAAGCCAAGCAATGAAAATCCAGATTCACAAACTAGATAAATGACAATGAGAAAGAAAGGGGAAGAGATAGTTATTTACTTTATGAAAAGATTCAGCAAGAAACAATCCTTTAAGTTATTCATGCATTCAAAGGTGTATATAATTTCCAAAAATCCAGTGTACAAATAGTTTTATAGTAACACATCTGTGGCATAAAGTAAACTATACTTAAGCTTTCGAAGGCATTCAAAGTCTCTGACAAGCTGTGACCATAGCACATTAGGATGTAGAACTGGAAGATCCATTGAGGCAGGGACTGTCTTTTTCCTCTTTTTGTGTCCCCAGCCTTAGCACAGTGCCTGGCATGTGGTAGGTAATTAATAAATCTTTTTGATTGATTAGAGATCATATTTTTAACCCTCTCATTTTATAGATGAGGAAATGGAGACTTAGAAAAATGAAAGGACTTACTCAAGGTCATGCAGCCAGGTTTCTTAAATCCCAGCCAAGGCCTTTATTCCATATTGCCCTTCCCCTTTGCCTTCTCTTGATCTGCCCTGAAGCCATGAGGTGTTATTCCACTGGCCTCCTTTGACATTTGACAGAGGGACATTCAGGAAGCTCATTCCTGAGTCCTGCCTGGAAGCTTGGCCCCATTTAACACTCCCTTCCTCCCGGCTTGAGAATGAAATTCATGTAATATTTCCATTATCAGTCATTCAATTGTGACACAGTCAACAAGCATTTATTAAGTGCCTCCTATGTGCCAGGTACTATGCTAGGTGCTAGGGATATAAGGGTCAGAAAAAAAGTTAAATAGTGCGTGCCCCTCAAGGAATTTGGCATATGCATTCCTTACCATAACTTATCAACCAGCCAGAATTTATGAGCCATTTCCCCCTTGTTAACTTCTAACACCCCTTTGTAAAACAAAGGAACACAGCAGCTTATACAGATATAAAAATAACTATGTTCAGTTGGGGGGGGTTGGGTTTTTTTTGCTTCTTTGTTTTTGTTTTACTGCTAAAGTGATAAAAATAGCTATTTACATAAACAAGTGATTGGCTATCTGAAAAATCTACTTTTAAGATTAAGACTTGCCAGCTTTCTCTCAATGTGGTAAAAACCTATTTCCTGCTCTTAAAGAAGAAAAGGAGCAGGGTATGTATGACTGCCCTTGAAACAGCTCTGCCCCTTCCTTGATGCTTTCCACATCAAAAAGGCATGGATAGAATGAATCCACTTAGAGGTTTAAGCGTTTTCTCCCTCTGCCACTCCCTCCCTAGAGCTCCAAGAAAGGCTTTCCAATCACTAAGGATGCTAGTGAAATAAGCCTGCCTTCTCTGCCCTACCTCCCACCCGCAGCATATGAAAAATATATCTCAGAATGTATGCGGAAGACCAGCTGGGCATTATTATTTCTGGAGCAACCAGCATAGTGTTTTAACTTTACCAAAGTGCTGTCTTCATTGTGTTTCTGGTTGGTGTCTAGTAAAGAAAAACATTGGATCCTGCCACTTTACTCTGGCTTCCCACCTCAGTTACCCGAGTCTGTTTTGTTCAGAAGTTCTAAGCAGATTGGTCCTAAATGCCAAGAAGAATGAGCGCATCTCGGGAGCTCCCCCTGGTGCCTCATTTGGGCATAGTGGTTTCATTAGCAGGCTGGAGTCAGCCTAGCCCTGGAAGGATGAGACTTGAAGCTTTGTCCTCAGCTCTTCCCCTGGTTTTCCACATGCTAAACCAGATGTGAACTGGGCCAGGTAGATCCATCCTTGGTCCAAGCAGAATCCTCCGCAGGAGGAAGAATAAATTACATGAAGTGGAAGCTGGGTGAGCACATGATCAGAGGAACTATAGGGGGAATTCCTATGGAGGTATGAGCTGGGCCAGATGACCTCTGCCTTCTAATCCAACCTTGAAATTCTAGGATTCTAGGATTCCAAGTGCCTGATGTTCTCCTGTAGAGGGTATCGGCCTCTCAGGCTGGTATTTCTGTCTAGCACTACTAATCACTTCTATATTGCCACGGCTGGAAATAAATAGCACTTATTTTGATATTTCAGTGGGTCTCTGATCTTATTAGGGTAAGCAATTCTTCCACTAATGCAGGTCACAATCCCTCCATTTCTTCTCAAATGGCGTGATTCTAGTCTGTGTCAGTAAATCACACATCCATCAATCTTTTATTAAGTACCTATGATGTAACTGGTGCTGTTCTAGATGTTTGGGGTGCAAAAAGAAAAATGAAATAGTCCCTATCTTTGAGGGGCTTACACTCTGGCGGGACAGACGTCATGTGTAAACAAAACTATATACCAAAATCATATATCAGTGCATCATTCAAATTTGTACTCTATATCTCCATTGCACTATAATTAATTACCATATTTTATGTAATTATAACTTTGAATTCAAATACATATGATCATTGCAGAGGCTTCATTATTTGCACTAATCAGGATTTAACTGTATTTACAAATTTTTAAAAAAGTAAGGATGTATGGGGAATAAGGTGAGGGAAAGGAGAGGCACTAGCAACTGAGGGAGTCAGGAAATGCCTCATATAATAGGTAGCATTTGAGCAGAACTTTTAAGGAAACTAACTGGATTCTAAGACGTGGAAGTGAGGAGGGAGTGATTTCAGGCACGGGAAGCACGTTGGACCTGCAAAGCCACTAAGACAGAAGATAAAATGTTTTGTGTGAAGAACAACAGGAAGGCCAGTAGGGCTGGACCATAGTATATATGAAGGGGGGTAATGTGTAATAAGCCTGGAAAGTAAGTTGGAAAAAAAGTTGTGAAGAGATAATAAGGGGAAAAAAGAAGAAAGATAGAAAAAGGGCAGCTAGGTGGTATTGTGGATAGAACACCAGCTCTGGAGTCAGGAGGACCTGAGTTCCAATCCAGCCAGCTGTGTGACCTCCTTGGGCAAGTCACTTAACCGCACTTGCAGAGAGAGAGAGAGAGAGACAGAGAGACAGAGAGCGAATAAGAAGCCACTGAAGTTTATTGAGCAGGGGAGTGACATGGTTCATCCTGTGCTTTAGGAACATCCCTTTGGCAGCTCTTTGGATAATGGATTAGAGAAGGGAAACCAGAGATGGGGGAGGATATAAGAGATGAAGAGGTAGAATGAGGGGCAGCTAGACTGCGCAGTGGATAGAGCATCAGCCCTGGAGTCAGGAGGACCTGAGTTCAAATGTGGCTTCAGACACGTGATACGGCTGGTGTGGAAAGTCTTATTGTCCTGGCTTTGCTAGGACCATGAGACCACACCGCTAAAGGAATGTCACAATTTCTGTGGTGGTGTTTTGTTGTCATTGTTTGAGCCGTATTTGGGATGCAGTCTGCATGTACGGTTGGTATTCCTCAGCAAGAGAGGGAAATCCATGTACAGCGAACTCTCAATTTTGTTTGCGAGGGGGAGGAGCAGGAATAGAGATCATTCAGAGCAAGCTATGATACAAAAAAAAAAAGGAGTTCGACTTTTGGAAGAAACGGGCAACATAGACAGCTATCTCGTAGATTGCTTTCCCAGTTATGCTTTGTGTTTCCTGAATATACAGTGGATACGTAGTGGGAATGGGTGCTAGGTGCATGCAGGGTTCCTGTGGGATTTGCTTATGCCATTCATTCAGCAAACACAAAGGGCCTGATGTCTAGAAGAAGATAGTGATGGGCAATCCAGGAATTGAAATTTTTCCTTCAAATAATGCACAATATCTATTATCTGCATTTAGGTGATACTGAACTGGACCTGAATTTACATGGTAGATTGGGGAGGTGGTATAATTTAGTGAGTAAAGCAGGATCAGAGAACACAGGTTCAAATCCACCCACCTCTGGCATTTACTGTGTGATCTTAGGCAAGTTATTTAACCCTGTGGGACCTGTTTTCTCATTGGTAAATATAAGGGATTGCATTCTAATTCGTAGTCCTATGAATATCTCTGTTCCCCAGAGGTAAAAGGTAAAAATTATCACCAACATGTCTAACTGCCCTCTTCCCCCAGGGGGTGGGGGTGGGCTTTGTTCTTTGGTGAGTCATCCCCTGTTTCTTACCCCCAGGGAAGCCTGGATCACCTGGATGAAGTGGCTGCCTTGATAGCAGCCACTGTCCACGATGTGGATCACCCTGGACGGACCAACTCTTTCCTGTGCAATGCGGGCAGTGAGCTAGCTGTACTCTACAATGACACAGCTGTCCTGGAGAGTCACCACACTGCCCTGGCTTTCCAGCTCACAGCCAAGGACAACAAATGCAACATTTTCAAGAACATTGACAGGTTTGTCGCATTTGGGCTTTGGGGCATTTGAAGTTTGAATGAGCTATAGACAACTCACTTAACCCCAAATCACCTACTCCTCTTCCCTTGAAAAGGATCAGCTTAAGAGAGTGTGAAGATAACATGACTAATATGGAAATAGGTTTTTCTGCACATATATGACTGCACATATATGACCTATATCAAATTGCTTGCCTTCTCAATGAGGAAGGAGGAGAGGAAAGAGAAAAAATTTGGAATTCAGTTTTTAAAAATGAATGTTAAAAATTGTTTTTACATGTAATTGGGGGAAAACTTAAAAAAAGAAAGGAATAGAAAAAAGAGAGTGTGAAAATATTATCATGGTGGTGATTATCATATTGTTTCCTATGATTATGCTTATAGAATTTTTATTTTAAATTTTCTTCTTTATTTTTATGAACTTGACAAACACTAACATTTCCAAATACAAAGGATGGAGAATTATAAATAAAACCAAAAATATTATGTGCCATTTTAAAATATATATATATATTTTTTTTAATTTTATATATATACATATATAAATACAATAACTCCTATACTGCCCTGCTTGCCCTTGTCTTTTTCTGAACTTCATTCTATTCTCTTCTGAGTATTTATAAATGTTTCATTCACATTCTTTTTTTCTTTCGGAATCATTATCACTACCCCCTTTCCTCTGCTACAGCTCTTCCACCTCAAAAAAAAAAAGTTCTCCTTCATAACAAATCAGTGCTGTCAAGAAAAACAAATCCACATAGTGGCCACGTCTGAAAATGTATGTCTCATTCTGTACCTCTAGTCTGTCGCCTCTCTGCCAAGAGGTCAGGGTTTGCTGTTATTGACAGCAGTCATATGACCACTTTGTATCTATAAAGTTTTTATCTCTCAAAATGCTTTCCTCTGCATCACAGAATCATCGCATTTTCATTGGAGGGTTCACATGGACCATCTAGTCCAACCTAGAGCATGAATCCCCATAACATCCTTGCCAGGGGCTCATCTAAGCAGTAGCTGACCATCCTTCTAAGACATTCTATTTTTTTTTTAATAGTTCTAAACTGTCAGGAAGTTTTTCCTCATACAAAGCCAAAATCTGCCTCCTTGTCACTTCCACCCATTGGTTCTAGTTTTGACCCCTGGCTCCAAGAATAAATTTAACTCCTCCACACAACGACTCCTTAAATACTCAGAAACAATAATCGTGGCTAGCCTAAATATCTCCAGGTCCTCCTGGACCGCATGGACTCCTCTTCATATAATATGAGTTTACAAGCTCTTTAAACACTGTAAAATGCTGTCCAATGTGAACTACTTTAATTATTTTTTTATAGTTTTCATCCTTACAAAAAAAACTCTGAATGATAAACAAGACAGATATTCTCACCCCCATTTTTCAGAAGACAAAGTGGAATTCTGGGTCAGTTTTTAGGCTCACACAGTTACACAGCAAGTTAGTGGCAGAATGAGGATTAACATCAATATCTCTGAACTGCTTAGCCCAGTGTTCTTCCCAAGATAGTAATTCACCATCCTATGGGTCATTCCAGTAGTTCAGTCTGTAGCCAGCCACAGCCTTAATAATAGCAGAACAGAGTTTTGGCTATTATCGTACCCTAGCTCAATGTATAACTTGATGATTTTGCTGGTAATTGGCAAATGTCTTCACAGTTCATAAATTTCCCATAAACTCGGGGACCGATTTGTTCTGACTTTGCCTTAACACCATTTGTTAACATCAATATGTGTAACAAACATAACTAATGTGATATATGATTATTATTTATGATTGTACTATATAATAATCAAGATCTATGTAATGCTTTAAGTTTTATAAAGCATCTTTTTCACATATCCTGTGATTTGGATTCCAAGTATAAGACTACCTTCAACTCTTAACTTGAAAACAAGGGCCCCATTTTCCCTGGGATCTGCATAGCGGGAAGTTAGGGGTGGGGCTGTATAAACTGGCCAAATTCTGGAAGCAGTGTAAACATGCCTCTGTTCCTGGTTTCTTCAGGACCCACTATCGAACACTGCGCCAGGCAATCATTGACATGGTCTTGGCGACAGAGATGACAAAGCACTTTGAGCACGTGAACAAGTTTGTGAACAGTATCAACAAGCCCATGGCCGCTGAGGAGAGCAACTCCCACGTAAGAGAGGGGCGCTGGCCTTCCCCCCCCAACACTGGCCCATCTAGACGTAGTTTCTCTCCCTCTGCTAGTCATGGTGGTTAATGCCTTAGGCCTCATCTGAAGAGTGGGGCTAAGGGTAGTAGTGACCCGTCCTTTTCTGATTGCATGATATCATGTCCTTGGATTCTTCTGAGATCCCAAGAAGAAAGACCTTGAGGTAAATTGATTGGCTGTAAAAGGTCGATTGACCTGCAGGTAGAGAGCAACGAGGAGGCTGAAAGAGAGAAGCAAAGAGTGATGTATAGCTCCCTAATTTAGCTTGGCCCTGAGTTTCCATTTAAATGTTTCCATTTAAAAAAACAAATCATTGGCCTTTGTGACTCTGTTGGGAGACGTTAAGATTAAGGAGTGCTTTAAAGAACTACCCTTGAGCTGATTCACATCACACTGAGCCAGACAAGCCAGTGCCCAAAGATCTTAATTGAATCCGGAGCATGTGTGTTTAAAAGCAAAGCATTAATAATGTGGGTGCTTAAAAACCAAAGCATTCTGTAATTGCTTGATTAAACAAACATATTTGCTCCTATTTGCCAGGGCACCAGAAGGCATTCTTCAGATTGGGCTTTACTTTGCATTAAAAAGCATCCAATTATTTCTGTTGTTTCCCAGATTTTTATTTTACCCATTTACATTAGATGCAATAACTGTAAATAAAGATTCCAGTGAAAAACATGCAGAAGAGTATCCATTTGTTTTCTGTGCAGTTATCCTGAATGGGCCAACCAACCCTTGCCAACCTGGGCTCCTTCCCTTCCCCTTATTTGGGCCTCAGAGGATTTCTTGGTACAATAAAATGAAGTGTTAAGCATGGGATGCAGTGTTTCCCATTAGTCTTCACATTGTCACGGAATAGACCCTCTGAAAAATTCCTACACAGAAGCCAGGAAGGCCTGACTTCTGCCCAGAAGCTGTAAAAAAAAAAAAGAAAAAAAGAAAAAGGGCTTTCTGCTCATTTTGAACTCCAAGCAATAACCAGAGAAACGGATGGACTACATCCTCAGGCCAGGATGTGACAGGGTATACTGCTGGGACCAGCAGACAGCAGAGAAATATTCCCATTTTACGGCTTGATAAGGAGTGCACGTGAGCTGGCTGTGTAGCTTGGATCCCAAAACAACAGGCAGCCTGGTTCTGGGTCACATAGAGGTGTAGTCTTTCTATCCCCAAGGCTATACTGCAGGGAACCAAATCACAACTCTCCTCCCTCAGCAAAGACCATTCACCCACAACAAGGGGCTAGGGAGAAGAGAGGGGAAGAGCTCACTAAGGGTTAACCATAGGCAGGTCCTTTCCTTTTTTAGAGAGTTCAGATCTGCAAGGTGGAAAAATGAGTCCTGAGGGTATCCACTGGCTGCACCAGCCTGTGGTGATTACAGTATGTCCTTCCCTGAATTTATATGTATCAGTGGCTTCATCTCCCTTTAAATTGAAGACTTACGCCCATTTGGCCTGCAAATGTGCTTAGTAAAGCATCATCACCCATGCAATCATTAGCGTTAGAACTATTTGCAAGTACAGATGAATAAAGCCTTATAGCGTGTGTCCCAGAAGCTGGGGCTCTGAGTATGGTGCTACATATTGAGTGTTCTTTTGGAAAATCTCTTTTGGTGTATCCCTACCCAGGCTTTCTTCTGAAGACAGCTGAAATTGGTTCGTGTTTGCACCCATTCAGTGTTTCCCCAGGAAACATCAGGATTTAACTATGCAAAAGTGATAGATCATAGAGGTCTACCTCATCGAAGTGTCATTTTATAAATGAGGAAACAGAAGCCGGGAGAGTTTAAGTAACTTACCTAATGTCACACAAATAGTAAGTTGGAGAGTCAGGATTTGAACCCAGGTTCTCTGAATATAACTCTTAATATTCTGTGTACTGTCCTGCACAGCACAGTCATCAGAGAGCTGTACTTGAGGTCAGCAAGAACTTGCTAGCCATGTGATGATGGGCAAGTCAACCTATATGAGCCATAGGCAACTCTCTAAGATTGTCAGTCATAAAGGAATTTTGATTCATATGATGGAGGGAGTTTTCACCATGACAATGTATTGATCTCTAGGACTCTGCAAACAAAGGAAAAGAGCCTTCAGCTCCCCCCTCAGGCCTCTGCTCCCTCAGTCCACTCTCCTCTCAGCTGTTAAATGATTAATCTTCCTAAAGCACAATTCTGACCCAGTCACCTGCATCCCCCCCCATTCAATAAATTCCTCTCCCTCCCTTTCATGTCCTGGGGATGTTTGTAGCACCTGCTGGAGATTTATCGATTGTTGTGGCCTCACTTTATCCCAGCAGTGAAGAAGGAACAAAATAAGGTTTCCCTTTGAAGGCCTGGTAATTAGCCACAGCCTACAACTAGTATTATTTAATTAGCCACAGCCTACAACTATTCACAAAATCATCCCCTGCTCAGGCTGACAGAGGCCTTTGCCAGAACTGTGGCTGAGTGTAGAAAGGTCTACCTAGCAAATGTCCTAGTTTCTCTGTAAAGATTCATTACCTAATTTTCTAATGATGTGGTTAAGGCTTACTGGTGCACGTCACTGAGGATTGGTTTTATTTTTATTTTTACATCACTTTTGTTTCCAAATATATTTCTCCCCCACCCAGAGAGCTAGCTAGCTATTCTTGGTGGTGTTAAGTTGTTTTTCAGTTGTGTCCGACACTCTGTGACTCCATTTGGGGTTTTCTTGGCAAACTTACTAAAGCGGTTTGCCATTTCCTTCTCTAGCTCATTTGACAGGTGATGAAACTGAGGCAAACAGGGTTAAGTACCTTGCCCCTCGTCACACTGTACCACAGAATAAAAGAGAGGGGAAAAATCCAGTTGAGCAGAACTAACCAACACATCAAACAAGTCTGATGGCTTTATTATATTATATTCCATACCCATAGACTCCCTTCCCATCTCAGCAAAGAATGGAGGGAAGTATATTTTCTTATCTGAGAAGAATCATTTTCATAGATACTTGTCTCTCCTGGCCCTGGCTTGCCCCTGAATCTCACACCATTGACAGAACAGACCACACATACAATATGATATGACCTCCACTAAATTCCTCCTCTCATGCCCCATGGTTAGGTAGCTTAGAGGAATAATACATGGAGTACTAGAACTTGGAAGCAGGAGGACCTGAGTTCAAATCCTGCCTCAGACACTTCCTCCTTGTGTGACTTTGGACAAATTACTTGACCTCTCTCCTCTTTAGTTTCCTCATCTGTAAAATGGGAACAGTAGTAGCACCTATATCACAGGGTTGTTGTGAGGATCAGTGACTTTGCAAATTTTAAAATTCTCCATAAATGCTACCTCTTATTATAATTGAGCAAAGAATTATTAGGCTCCTACTGGGTTGTGGACATTGTGCCATGTATGCACAGAAATCCACTGTTTGTAGGCAAATGAATGTGAGGATTCATGGCTTAGGAAGAAGAGAAGCTAATCAATACAGGATAGGGCCTGGATGAATAGACAAATGGGTGGAAGAGACAGGAGACCTATTCAGTGCCAGTAGCTAGAATAGCAGGAAGAAAAAAGTAAAAAAAAAAAATTCCATTTCTTGGGGGAAAATATTTGAGTTTTAGTTCTTTTTCTAATAGATCTGGTAGAAAAGCCCACTTTTCCTACCCATCCCCTGTATGACCAAGGAGTGCTTAATCATGTTTAATTGGGTTATCCTTATTAGAAGCTACTTCAGTGATGTCTTGAGCCAATCTTGCCCTGATTGCCTCTCTTACAGGGTGAAGGCAGTGACTGTGAATGTAACCCCATTGGGAAGAACTTCCCTGAAAACCAAATCCTGATCAAACGCATGATGATTAAATGTGCAGATGTGGCCAACCCGTGCCGCCCTCTGGAGATGTGCATCGAATGGGCTGGAAGGATCTCAGAAGAGTATTTTGCACAGGTAGGCTGTTTCTCAAGGTGGAGGCCACCCTCCTCTTCTCTGGGATTTTTGGAAATGTACTATGTGGTTTAGAAGCACATCTAAACAAGCCTCTGAGAATTGTTGGGGTTGAAAAGTTTTTCCATCTAGAAATCATAGGGCATGATCAGTAAGCAAACCATTCTGTAGAAAGAAATTCATCATATTTGGGTGTGAATTAGCTCTCACATGAACTTAGGTAAGACGTGCACTTCAGGGAATTGATGTAGACAGTAATCAGCTGAAACTTCTAGAGCACAGGCATGGAGTAAATGACTTGTATTTATGTATGTATATGTGTATATGTGTTATATATTAAGGGAAGCTAAGTGGTACAGCGGACAAGGCACTGGGCTTGGACTCAGGACGACTCATCTTCATGAGTTCAGATTTGGTCTCAGACACTTACTAGCTGTGTGACCCTGGGCAAGTCACATAACCCTGTTAGCCTCAGTTTCCTCATTTGTAAAATGAGCTGGAGAAGGAAATGGCAAACTGCTGCAATATCTCTGCCAAGAAAAATCCCAAAGGGGTCAGGAAGGGTCGGATGTGCCTGAACAACAACAATATACACAAATATATGACCTCCACTAAATTCCTGCTCCCATGCCTCATGGTGTGAAAGTTTATCATGTATGTTAGGTAGGAAAGGATGTCTCATGTCACAATGCATAGAGAGCCAACCTCAGAGTCAAAAAGATCTGGTTCAAGGGCTGCCTCTGACACATTCCAGCTTTGTGATCGTAGGCAAATGTTTTAACCTCTCAGTGCTCCCAGGTAACCCTCTCTCAGACTCCGGCTGCAGAACAGGTGTTGAGCTGCATTGGGAAAGAGACTTTCCTCATATCAAGGGGAAGGAGGAAAGAGAATATGCATTCATTAAGTTCCTACTATGTGTCAGGCACTGTGCTAATGGCATTGCAGATATCTCATTTGATCCTCATAGTAACCCTGTGAAGTAGCTATTATTATTCCCATCATACAATTGAAGAACTGGAATTCTTTACAATCATGAAATCACAAGCAAAATAAAGTGTGTATATATGTGTATGTGTATATGTAACTAAGGCTCTTGGAGCATCCCAGATACATACACCATGCAGTCATTCATTCCCAGACATATGTACACATATATTCATTCACTCGATCCTCAACCACAGCCTAGTGCCTCTATATTTCCACCTGTCCTATTTTTCACAGCTGAATTCTGTTTACTAAGGCTGGACCAGATGGCTTCCAATTCCTTACCATTTCTACTAGTCCTTGATTTATGCAACAACAGAGGACAGAAAAAGTAGAGGTGTATATTGTTTGGGGGATTAAATTCATTCCCAGGATATTGTTTGTACATTGAATGATAATTTCCTCATTGACTTATATTATAATTTTAAAATGCCTTCTGTATTTCTCAGTGATTTGTAATCAGGAGAGGCTCCTCACATGTCTGTGTTCCCCTCTGATCCCCAGTACCGTCTCCCTTATCTGTAACTTTCCCAACACATACACATTGGTACAGGCCCTAATTTCAAGAGTCCCTTCCATGACTCTTTATGCAGTCTCTTTGCATGTGAATAAGCATCTCCTAATTTTGGTTTTTGTGGCTTTGTATTTTTCAAAATTTTCAAAATTACAGTGGAGCTCTCGACTCTAAGGATCGAGTTAGAGAATAACAAAAAGGTTCCTATGTTTGATGAAAGTTACACGTGTTAGCAGAAAGTCAGCAAAACCCCTGTGAGATGGGGAAGGAAGGATTGAGTGCTAAAGGCAATGTAGAAGGAAGAAGAGAAAGGTCATGGGGGAATAATAAGATCTAGGCTAGTCCCAGCTGCCTTTTCCTCCTACCTCTGGCAGTCCTGATAGCTATAGTTCAGACTTCTGCTCTCCTTGTCTAACTTGGACCAGGTTGGGGTGGGAGAAGCAGAGAGACAAAGGCTACCCAAGGTGCTTTGTTGGAGAAGACTGCAGAAGACAGATGAACTCAGAGAACTAGAGTCAGGAGATGGGTTAAAGTTGTGATTCCACCCACCACTTACTGGAAGATCCTGGGAAAATCATTTAGGCCCTCAGTTTCCTTATGCAAAATGGCAAAGATAATATCTTCACTAACCACCCCATGGAGTTATTGAGTGCTGAACTTTAAAGTGCTATGTAACTGAGTTGTGATTTTTATTAATTATTAAGTAAAGTCTCTGCTAGGAGGCACAGTGGATAGAATGATGGACCTGGAGTTAGGAAGACCTGATCAAATCTGGGCTCAGACACTTACTAACTGTGTGACCCTAGGCAAGTCACTCAACCTGTATGCCTCAGTTTCCTCATCTGTAAAATGAACTGGAGAAGAAAATGGCAAAATACTCCAGTATCTTTGCCAAGAAAACCCCAAATTGCATCACAAAAAGTTGGACACGACTGAAAAACAGCTGAACAACCACAACAAAAAAAGTCTCTGATAATTTGCTCTTTGGGGAATAGATTATTCTTGGCTTAGTGGCGGAGGGGGCGTAATGGAAAATGTGATCACTTGTAATATTCCAAGTGAAGGCTATAATGTGAAAGCAGCAAAGCCAAAGCAAAAAGAGGAAAGAAAATATGAAAGACCCTTCTTTGTTCTCCATGCTTGTACTCAGTCTTTAATGTTTAATAGCACACATTAGACCAGAGAAAAGAGAGGCAGGACTTCACATCCCTGACGCAGTGCTAAGGTAGAGGCCCACGGCTCTCCTGCACAGGAGAGACAGAGAAGAGGAAACCACCTTGAATTACACGTGAAGAATGTAGATTAGGCAAAGTCACTTAACCTCTTTCTGTAGGCTTCAGCTTCTCATCTATAAATATATGTGTATGTGTGTGTGCACATAATTACATAGAGATGTTTCATTATTTATCTGTAAATAATGTATATAGATACATTTACATGTGTTATATATGTAAATATATATCTATGATATCCAAAAAGTCTTAGTGCAATTTCAACAAAAACAACTATCATTTATACGGTGTACTTGAAGGTGTGCAAAGCACTTGATAAATGTTATCTTATTTCATCCTCACAACAGCCCTGGGAGGTAGGTGCTATTATTACCTTCATTTTACAGATGAGGCAACTAAGCAGACAGAAGTTAATATGACTTGCCCGTGGTCATACAGCTAGGAAGTATCTGAGGCAGGATTTGAACTCAGGTCTGTCTTCCTGACTCCAACTCCAGCACTCTATCCACTGCTCCACCTGGCTGCCCCTCAAATACTCCTGAGTGCCTACAAGCTCTCACATTGAGATGGCACTTTACAGTTTCCAAAGTACAGTTTCCTCATAATAAAGCAATGAAGTGGGAAATTCACATATTTTAAGCTCATTTTACAGATGAAGAAACTGAGGCTCCGAGTGGTAAAGTCACTTGGCCAGGTTTACATGGCCACTGTCAGACTCAAGAACTGAAATCTAGTTTTCATGGCTTCAGAGTCAGGCTTCCTTCTACCACATCATACTGCACCATGTCGGACGTTATGGAGGATTCAAAAGAAATGTCTGCTGTACCTCCTCCCCTCTGGCAATTTAACCGTCTAACTGGCAAAGCAAAGCTATTATACGTGAAACAACCAGAAAGCTTCACATTACAGTAAATCAGCAGCTAGGTGGCATAATGGTTAGAGTACCAGACCTGGAGTCAGCAAGACCTGAGTTCAAATCCAGCCTCAGAGACACTTCCTACCTGTGTGACCCTGGGAAACTTAATTAACTGCTGCCTCCCTCAGTTTCCTCATCTGTTAAGAGGAGATAATGATAACAGCCACCTCCCAGGGCTGTTGTAAGGATCAAATGAGATAATGAACCACTTTAAAGCATTCAGTGCTAGGTATTATTAACATGCAATCTGTCTAAATTAAATTGCTAGGTACTTAGTATAGGTGCTGTATCAGTTCAGAGAAGGGAGGAAAGTTCTACTAGATTATGGCAGATTATATAGTTTATTATATAGATTTTATACATATATATATACATATATATGTATATGCATATATATGTATATATACATATATATGTATATGTATATATGTATACATATATACATATATATATATATACACATATATATACATATATATACAGAGAGAGAGAGAGAGAGAGAGAGAGAGAGAGAGAGAGAGAGAGAGATTATATAGTTCCTGGAGAACAAGAGACTGTCATTTTTTCATTTTAACATCACCAGCACCTAGCACAATGCCTACACACACAGTAGGCACTTAATAAATGTTTTGTTGAATTGAATTGAGCAAAAGAGTGAGATGATAAAACAGGAGTTTTAAAGTTATCCAGCAATAGTGAAAAGAACTCTGAGCTGGGATTCAGATGCCCTGGCTTTGAGCCTTGGTTCTGCCTCCAACTAGCTCTGTCACCTTGGAATCACTTTACCTCGATGGTCCTCAGACTCTCCATCTGTGGAATGAAGAGTATTGGACAGAAACTGAAGGCAAAGAAGGACTGGAGGAGAATGACTTGAGTAAGAAGGGCTTCAGAAGGTAGATCAGTGGAACAAGGCACAGGAGGAGGAGATGGAGGAGCAGAAGGAGATGGGGAGGATGACATGGTCAGACCTTTACTTTTAGGAAGATCACTTTGAGTGGAGGATGGACTGGAGTGGGAGAGACGTAGCAAGGAGCAACCAGCAGGCTACTGCAATAGTCTAGGACAATGCTTCTTAAACTGTGGGTTGTGACCCACAAGTGTTGAAGGGGTCACAAGTGGAAAAAGTTTAAGAAGCCCTGGTCTAGGATTGAGGTGATGGGGACTTGTCCCAGAGTGGTGGCAGTGTCAGAGGAGAGAAGGAAGCAATAGTCGAGAGATATATATTATGAGGAGAAAATCAACATGTATTGGCAGAGATTGGATGGGGGTTTGTTGAGAGTGTGGAGTGAGGATTGACACCTAGGTTTCTAGCCTTGAGTGACTGAGAGGATGGTGGTACCCTCAGAAGTAACAGAGGAATTCAGAAAAGGGGGCAGCTTTCTTAGGAAAGATGAGTTCAGTTTTGAATGTGTTAAGTTTAAAATGTTTACTGGACATCTAGTTCAAGATGTCTAATTAGTAATTGGAGATGGGAATTTGGGAAGTTAGAGAGCTTAAGGCTGTGTAAGTAGATTTGATTCATTAGCTTAGACATGATTGAATTCATGAAATATCATAAAAATCATTAAGTAAAACAGTATAGAGGGAAAAGAAAAGAGGGCCCAGGGCACAGCCACAGTGTCCAGGACTAAGAAGGCATAGTCTGCCCCAGCCTGTTAATATTTGGAATACTGTATTATTCAGTTCTGGGTACCACCTTTTGAGAAGGGCATTGATGAGCTAGAGGACATCCAGAGCCAGGTGACTAAGAGGGTGAGGGCACTCAAGCTCATGCCTTCTGAGCCTCAATTGAAAAAAACTGGGAATGGCTAGGTTTGGAAAAGAGAAGCTTTGGGAGTGGAGCCTGATAGTTGTCCACTGCTGCATGTACAAAAATATTGATAGCAGCTCTTTCTGTCGTAGCAAAGAACTGGAAATGGAGGGGATGCCCATCAGCTGGGGAATGGCTGAGCAAGTTGTGCTATATGAATGTAATGGAACACTATTGTGCTATAAGAAATGATGAGCAGGTGGACTTCAGAAAAACCTGGGAAGACTTGTATGGTCTGGTGCTGAGTGAAGTGAGCAGAACCAGGAGAACGTTGTATACAGTAACAGCCGTGCTGTGCGATGACTAGCTTTGATAGACTTGGCTTTTCTCAGCAATGCAAAGATCTAAGATGTCTCCAAAGGTCTCATGATGGAAAATGCTATCCACATCCAGAGAAAGAACTATGGAGTCTGAATGCTGATCGAAGCAGACTATTTGAACTTTTTTTTTCTTCTGTTTAGTTCTGTTTCTTCTTTCTTGTGGTTCCTCCTATTGGTTCTAATTCTTAACTTACAACAAGATTAATGTGAAAATATGTGTAATAGGAATGTATATGTAGAGTATATCAGATTGCACACTGTCTTGGGGAGGGAGAGAAAAATTTAAAACTTAATAGCTTATGGAAGTGATTGTTGAAAACTAAAAATAAATTATTAAAATAAAGATAAGTTGTCCACTGTCTTGGACAAGTTCAGGTCTTTGAAGGACTGCTGTATGGAAAGGGTTTAGATAAGTTTTGTTTCACCCAGAAGGCAGGGCCAGAAGCAGCAGGTAGAAGATGCAAAGAAGCAGGCTTTGACTTGGCATAAGGAAAAATTTCCTAGCAATGAGATTATTCACAAGTAGAACAGGATCTCTAGGTGGTGGGTTCCCCCTCATTAAAGGAGAGGCTTGATGACCACCTTGGGAGGATGCTGTAGAGCAGAAGTGCCAAACTTGTGGTTGGCCTTCAGGCCCCAAACTCTTAACTCCTGAGTGTGCAGGAATCTGATTAAAATGTAACTGGGAAATGTTTAGCAAAATAAATAAAAATATAACATATTGAGTCATTTCAGTCACATCCAACTGTCTGTGACCCCATTGGGGATTTTCTTGGTAAAGATACTAGAGTTGTTTGCCATTTCCTTCTCCAGCTCATTTTACAGATGAGGAAACTGAGGCAAACAGGGTTAAGTAACTTGCCCAGAGTCACACAGCTAGTAAGTGTCTGAAGCCAGAATTGAACTCAGATCTTCCTGACTCCAGGGCCAACACTCTATCCATTGTGCCACTTAATACTAATTTGTGGTTTTTTAGGTCATATGTGGTCTGCAGGGCATCATTTCTATTTGAGTTTATACACCACTGTTTTAGGTAGCTATTGGCTCATAAGATCATAGAACTGAAGCTAGAATAGGATAAGCAGTCAATAAACATTTATTAAGTGCCTATTTTTTGCCAGGAACTCCTGCTAAGCACTGAGATACAAAGAAAGGCAAAAAAAAAAAAAACCCAAACAAACCTGAACACACACACACACACACACACACACACACACACACACACACACACACACACACCCACCACCTTGTTCTCAAGGAGTTCACAGTCTAACAGGGGAGAGAACATGCAAACAACTATGTACGAACAAGCAACATACAGAATTAGTAGGAAATAACAAAGGAAAGGGACTAGAATTTCAAGGAGATTTTCTGTAGAAGGTGAAACTTTAGCTGGGACTTGAAGAAAGAAAAGGAAGCCAGGAGGTGGGGATGAGGAGGGAGATCTTTCAGTCCTGGGGGACAGCCAGTGAAAATTCCCTGAATCCGGAGATGATCTCTCTTGTTTGAAGAGCAGCAAGATGATCGGTGACACTGGGATCAGAGAGTGTGAGAGGGATGTAAAGGGTAAGAAGACTGGAAAGGTGGGGGAAGGGAGGCAGGTTATAAAGGGCTTTGAATTGTGGGGTCCAAAGTTGTCCAATCTGCAAGAAAAATCATTGAGGCAGAACTCCAAACCAATAGCACTTTATTAATGGGTCAAAGCAAGGCAAGGGTCATCTCCGCTAATTGGTCTTAAGATGGTCACCTGCTCGCACTGGACAAGATACGGTGGCCCAGAAATACGAAAACAAATTAGGGTGTTCTCCACATTACACAAAATCTCCCTTGGTGTTTGAGCGTGGAATTTGAGCAGAACAGGATGGAGATATCTTTGTCAGCATTCTTGTGGTTGCCCAAGTGAGCTTCATAACTGGTAAACAAGTAGTGAACACTGGATTAAGGTTTGGGGCCCACTATAAAGGCCTACTATAAGAACCTGTCTTATCTAATTATCCTTTATGATTTATATAACAAACTGATTAATATTTATTGGAATGGAGTAGGGGTCCAAATGGACCATTTTTCTCACAGAATACCCAACAGGATTTTATGTTTGATCCTGGAAGCAATAGGGAGCCACCTGAATTTCTCAAGTCAGGGCCTGAAGTGGTCAGGGAAGCTCAGAAGCCATCACATCCAACCCCTTCATTTTACACATGAGAAAATTGAGTCACAGAGAAGTGAAGGACTTTGTCAATGACCCACAGAGAATGGCAGAGTTAGGATTCAAACCCAGAACTTCAAACCCAGTGTTCTTTCCACTGTATTAGGCCACTAGGATCACATGCTCCTTCCATCTTTGAATTTCTGGAATTCAGTATGATTTATTTACACAGAGTATTATGTTGGGCATTTTAAGCCACAGTCCTTGTCATGTGACATGTCCATATACATCTCTGAGGGGTGATGCTAACGCTGATAGCCATGCCCTTGAGTGAGGCGCCATCCACTATGGTGGCCCCACGAAGCTAGAGTTTCTCCAGTTCTTGGACTAGATGGTCTAAAGTCTCTCCCAGCACTAATGTTCTGATGTTCTGTGCAACTGTTTCATGCAATACTGAAAAGACCCGTTCATTCATCTGGAGGCAGCTACCTTGGAATTTTCTACAAATCAGATAGGAGAGAGATCAAAGTTGGCCTTTGCTAAGCAGCTCTTCTCCATGTAGTTTGTACAAATTGATGGTATGAGTAAAAGCACAAGGGTGGGGAATGCTTAGAATACCTAAAAGAAGCACTGCCTAGCAACAATTCACCTATATTCCAAGTATGAATTATGCATATCTTACATCTTAACACTCATTAAGCACATACTATATGCCAGTCTCCTGAAGGACCTTTCTAAAGCAAGTAGACTGAAGAACTATACTTAGTCTAATTTGAGTTACACTATATATTTATGAAGAATAAAACTGTAATATTTTTTTAAAACATTCAATATTACAGCAACTTGGACTAACCTCTTAATAAGTCAAAACCAGTTTGTAATTATTCCAATAGCACAATGCAAAATCCAACCTATGAAGAACAAATACAGTAGGAGCCTATTATATTATGGTTTAATATCACTATCCAGATTCAGATTCACTAGTAACCATCATGTTCCCCAAAATATAACCATAAAGAATGTTGGGTGTTGAAACTATGTTAAATCTCTCCTTAAAACCTGTAGGTGGAAAAAAAAAAGTCCTTTAAAATATCAGCTAAATCTGGTTTATTCTAGAAGATTCTAGGCTTTTTAGAAAATGGTTTCCTATCCAAATTGACAGGCATTGTGCTAAATGCTAACCTTACAATTACTTAGTCTGGGTGGTGGTGGGGGATACAAGATATTGGGCCTGTCCTATAGCAACAGAAGTAAGAAAAGAGTTCTCCTGCATTTGTTACACATTTCAGTTTTCAGGGTTCATTTTGTGAGTTATCTGAGACCTAAGAAGGAAACTGGGTGAAGGAAATTGTCATTCTCCTTCCATGTAGTAAAGGAAGTCATATAGAAGAATGAGTTTTTAGGAGCTCAGTGAAAGAGGAAAGAAGGCATGATTGGGCAAACTGGAATGGAGAAGGGTGTTACATACAACATAGTCCATAGGTGAATCCATAGGATCTCAAAGAATACCAAAGAGGTAAGCCTGGGGAAAATAAATAGAGGCAGGGAAAAGAAAGTGAAGGGTAGCATTGAGCAATCCATGGGAGCACTTGTAGCAGAAGGTATGCGAGAAGCCAGGTGTACATGTGGACCTTCTACAGCAGGAACGGGTGGTGATCTCACTGGGTTGGAAGGATAGCATAAACTCCTGAAATGGAATCCAAAGAAGCAGCAAAACCACAAAGCTAATCATATTTCTTTCTTTATTTATTTTTGTAGACGGATGAAGAGAAGAGACAAGGGCTACCAGTGGTGATGCCAGTATTTGATCGAAATACTTGCAGCATCCCAAAGTCCCAGATCTCCTTCATTGACTATTTCATAACAGATATGTTTGATGCTTGGGATGGTAAGGAAGTTTGTGTTTTCTTTTTCTCCAAGAAACACCTGGTTAGATTGAGATTTCAATTAGCCAGAAAGGAATTGTTATTGCCTTACTATAATAACAGTACAAGAACACAAGGAACCCAGCTCATTCGTTCATTCAGCAAAAATTCACTAAGCATATATGTGTTGTAGGAGACATAAAGAAAAATCAGACATGGTCCTTGCCTTCAAGTAGCCTTTTTAGCAAAGATAACTCAAGGTCTATATATGGAATATAATTCAGAATGTGTAATATAATAGAGAATGTGCCACAAAGTGCCATGAAAAGTACAAGCAAAATGCTTTGAGAGATCAGAGGGACAAATCACTTGGGGAAGAGAGCATAGTCTGAGAAGACTTCGTGGAGGTGGTGGCATTTGATTTTGACCATGAAGGATGGATAGGATTTTGACAGATGAGATCTGTCAAAGAGAGATGATAGACATCGAGAGGTAGAGCGTGAAGATTGGAGGCAAAAGCCCAGACATTGTGCTTCTGAAGTCAGCTGGCAACAACAGAAATGAAAAGGAGGGAACAGAAACATCCAAGAGGGAGAATCAACAGAATTTGGTGATTGATTAGATGTGGGATTAATGGATGTCCAAAAATAACTCAGCCATCAAGATTAAAACGTGCAAAGGTGCACAAGTGCAACAGATGCTTTTAGGTTCCCAAAAATACCTGATTATTAGATTAGATTATTAGAAATTATTTCTGTTGTGTTAAGTTACTCCAGCAATTTGTACTTGTTTCTAGAGCTCAGTATTAGAGTCATTAGAACTGCTACTTCCTAGATCTGGTTGGTAGAGTGCCAAACCACACATCTTAATTGTGGGTGTAGGTATATGTGGATATGTGACTTTTCTCATTTTTCCTAAAATGCAGCTTACTTTGGGAGTTTATATTAGGTGATTTGTTTTTAACATTTACAATATTCGATACATGAAAAAGTTCATCCTAACTTGTCTAAAACAGTGTTTTCCCTCCAAGGGGCAAGAATTAGACAGTTCTTCAACTCTGGGCAGCAGCAGCAGCAACACTGCTTTGTCTCTCTTCACCTCCTTTCTCTAGCTTCTGTTGCACCCTCAGACAAAACGTATGTGATGGATTACCATCCTCTTACTACCAGACCGCACTTAGGGTCAAGGGACATTTTATTCTTATCTTATAACCAGATCGTTTAAACATATGCAACTCAGTTCTCAAGAATGAGCAAAACAAAGTCTAGTGAATTGACCCCAGGGCCTAGAGACATGGCCTTATAAATGCCTTTTTTTTTTTCAGCTCAACTTAATACAACAGGTTTCTTTTGATTTTTGTGTATCCCTACAGCATTTGCACATCTCCCAGCTCTCATGCAACATCTGGCTGATAACTACAAACACTGGAAAATGCTGGATGAGTTAAAATGCAAGAGCCTGAGGCTTCCATCTGACAGCTAAAGAGGAAAGGCCACAAAACGAGACCTCGTAATCTACAAGCTACACTGTGAATCACTTAGTAATGGAGAAGAGAGGGACATGTGTATTTCCCTTTAAAGTGAGGCTAACAGCTGTAGATTAAGGAGCTAATAGTTAATACTTCCTCTTAAATTGCCCAAATTTCCCAGTATTTCATTCCTGGAAAGTTATGTATCTAACACAGCTGAATAAATGTTCTATTGAACATTTGAGGGAGGGCAGATACTTTGCAAGGTCATTTCCACTGTTGTCGCTAGCAAATGGCTATCTTACATATTCTGTTCACCTGAATGATGAGCATATCTATGGGTTAGTGAACCTTCACATCTTGTCCTCAAAAAAAGAGCAAATGTCACCACATGACTTGATTATTCCTTGAGTATTAATGTCAATAAAGATTCCTCATGAAAAGATTCCCTAGAGGATGGCCACCTCTAAGACGACCCAGCATGAAATGAACCAACCAGCTGGGTCTGATTCCCCTATTGGTTTGATAGTCTTCTTGCCAAACTGTGGTTCCCCTGGCCAGAATAAATACAGGCTCAACCAATAGAGTACTGGCCTAATGATAGCTCCATCCAATGGTACCAGGAACTCCTATGGTTCTCTTTCCTATAAAAGCCATCCATAGTCGGGGAGGGAGAGGATGTCTTGCTTTGGGGGATTTATGAATTTCATATATTTCCACCTTATGGAGGCGGCAACAAAACACAACACTGCACGTATTATACAAAAGCCATTAAATCTAAGGATATGTTCAAGAACTTCTTTTTAAAAACAACAACAACAAAGTTTGTATACAGTTGCTGTTTAAAGATTTTATTAAATTGATCTACATTTTCTGGGTCCAAGTCTGTGCAGTGTGCTATGCTGTATGCTATGTGTAAGTCTTCTTTTTGCCCACCTCCTTGCCTATTGGACAGCGCTCTTTTGCTTTTATGATGTAAAAAAAAATGTTACAAGATATGTAAATATGTTAGAAACCAAGCATATTGCAGGGTGTCATTACACTTTTAAAATATGAATTGTATGCTAAGAAGCTTCTAAAGCACAAATGCATATTTTTATACATTTCGTTTCTCACAACTTTCTGTGCTTAACATAAATTCAGATTTTGGACTCCTCTTTCCCTCTTCCCAATCAACTCCTTTATGTGTATATAAATACTAGCAACCCAGCAAATGGTGTATTTGGTTTTTTTCTTTCAAAGGCTGCTCACTCCATGCTGCATTTCTAAGAAGTCTAAACAGTAACTGAATGTGACTGGTAAGGGAGCTGTTTTTCAAACCATAAAATTTGCAAATGCAAAAGGGCCTAGGGGCTGGCTCAGATTTTATACAGGCAAAGGGAAATGTAGTTGGTAAAAGAAAAAGGGATTGTTTTGGGAGTCAAGAAAAAAAGACAATGACTGTCGTTTTGCTGAGAACTACATACTGTGCCAATGTTTTTCTATGTTTTGTACTAACAAATGGAAGCATTCATGAAATTTCCATGCAAAGAAATGCACCTAAGCTCTATTTTTGTTAAAATTGTAATAGCATCTTTGTGGAAGCAGCAGCTACCGCCTTCCGCTCTGTATCATAAGGCTGCATTGTGTATATTTGATGAAGTTGTTTTTTGTGAAGTATTTGTAATGGCTTTTCCTACAGCTGAGCCCCATTTCCCTATGGTTGTCTTAATTTGATCTGTTTGGCCTAAATTTTTCCTAGTATCAAGATTTTGGCTTTAGTGTGTTTTTTTATTCGACAGGGATGGCATTTTGAAGACCTGGTCCAAACTTGTTCCAAAGACAGAGTTCCGCTTTCAGGAACTAGTTATGACAAGGTAGGATAGAATTCAGCAGCTTATATCAGGCGAGAACAATCTTTTCTAACCATCTCACTCTCAGGATCATTTATCAGGAGACTGACATTTTCTATATGAAACATTTCATTTAACTGAGTGTTATGTCAAATTGATTTCATATCAACTACAGAATTAATGTGGGAATGTTAAATGCTTTAAGACAGGCAGGTAATAAAACTCGAACATGGATTTGCTCTTTATCTACCAGTATAATCTGCAGACTTCTGACAAGTTGCTAAGCTCTGAGCTCAATGTTCCATAGAGCCAATTTGGCCAAAGTATGGGATTCTGTACCATGTGTATGTCAAATAGTATTGTAAGATTGAGGTCCTTATAGTTGATTAAAAAAAAAATGAGTAACTCACTGCCCTCTTCTACTGAATACCTTCCTAACATTACATTCAAGGTTCCAGAAGAAATTTGGGGATGTGAGGCTCTCTACTTTTTTGAGAAAATCTATATGCCTAGCACTGTTACTATTAACAAGAAAAGGAGCACTGTTACTATTAACAGAATGGTCTGTTTCCCTCCTATTCCTATTAGCCTGAACCACGTACCACACTCTACGTTTTATGAGAAGTCTTTGCTGTACCTTCATATCTAAGACTGCAATTCACTTGCTTCAGTGTGAATACTGGCAAGTTTGCCTTCCAGGCACAGAACAAACCCTATCTCTCCATCCAGTCAGATCTCAGCCTGCCAAAGTGAGGCTGAATGGAGGTGAAGAGTAGGCACCCCTATATCTGAAGCCTTTAAATCTGTAACACAGACTTTCCCAGAAGCTCTGTGTTTTATCAATGATCGATAAGATACTTCACCATGTACTGCTTCCACTGTTGTGACAAATGTCATACTGTTGATATGAAGTACACTAAGGAGACCACAGAAGAAAATACATATGGAATATCTACAAGTCTTGCCTATAATTTCATTGTCATAGTTAGAAAGCTCAACTCTGAGCACATGTGACTAGGTGGGCAGCCAGAGTCACAGCCCCTGCCAGATTATAGAATCCATCCACTGGAAATTGTTTGGTTCTTGTGATATTAGTGCTTCCCTCCCATCCTACTATACTTAAAAAAAAATTCCACCTCCCAGAAATTAATGTAGGACTAGCTCAATTAATGAGCTGTGATCTGTTCATAAGCCAAGCAGCTATCAGTCTGTCAGGTCTAAAAATCTGCTATTTCATTGAAAACTTAAAAGATAATGTACCAGAGGATAAGATTCATTGCAAAGGACTGACATATAAATTTAGGGTACTAATGCTTCCCAAACTCAACATTTGGGCTCTATTATTTCACTCTGAGTAATCTTCTATCACACATTCATGTTTTCCACCAGCAATTTAAATCGTTTGGCCCATAGAATCTTGTAAGTAGAAAGTTTATGTTTGACCAGTTTATAAGTATATCTACAGAATATATTCTGGAAATACAAAGTTACCAAACCAGGGGCAGTGATTTATCGATTAATTCCTGTGTAATTTGCTGAGGATGCCTGATAGAAGTAAAGAAACTGCCTTTCATTTGTGGCATAATTCAGAATTTATTAAGCAAAATCTGGTCAGTAATGGGTGGATAATTTGTATTTAGGAAACCCAAAGAGCTGAAAGGGCCCCTTAGAATCCATCTAGTGATTTCTCCTGCTTTTAGCTAAGACCTTACGTGATCAGAGGTTTCTTCCCAGACAGTCTATTGTTTTTAAAGCCCTCAAAGATGACTCAAAATTTCAGTTCAAGGAACATTTATTAAGTACCTACATTGTGCTAAGCATTGGAGACAAAAAGACAAAAACCAAATAGTCCCTGGCCTCAAAGAGGCCATTTTACATTGGCAGAAAAAAGAAAGTAAAGCTGCCCGGAGACAGGCCAGCAATACAGAGGAGATGGCTCACTGAAGCAGGTAGTGCTCAAATTTCCCAAAGTGAACCATTTCCTCCACAAAGATTATCCTTAAGGGATAATTCTCATCTCCAAATGGGAACCCTGGCCCTTCCATCTCCATCCCCTCCACTTAAAGAAACAAGAAGCCTTCTGTGAGCACTATGAAAGCATTCATTTCAGAAGGGTCCAGAGAAAGTCCAGGCAGAGTGTCAGCAAGAAGTCAAGTCTGAAATGAAGTACCACATTGCAAGGCCCAATTCTACCTTTTCACTCCCGAACTTTGCTAAATGGTCTCAGTTTATAAATAATCAGTCGCCCATTATTGCTCTAGGGATCTAATCTTTACCTATTTTAGGATTCCGAGTAAAACCAAAACTGACATCATCTTTGCCCAAAAATTAGCTATGTTACCTTTCAGGGCTCATATTTCTTATCTGGAAGTTGAAGGTGTTGGAGGACCCCTTCCAAAGCTAAAATTATATGATTTAAGATAAATATTCTGGTAGCTATCCAAGGTAAAGACCGATTTAAACAAAAGACAAGGAAGAAAAATTATTTAAAGAGTTCAGTTAAAGGCCTGAATAAAGGTTTCTTACTTCCTGATTCAGAAATAAATGTATAAATTGGCAGAAAAATACCCTTTGAGAAAAGAGATTAATGCAACTATTGACAGGTACACTGTTGAATTCCATTTATTAAAATGTCTTCCTTTGACCATTTAATCTTACTTTAAAATAATTTTAAAATTAATCCTACCAAGCTTTTTAAATGTGTGCACTCCCTAGCTTTGAAAAAAAAATGACTAAGGAATTAGGGATACAAGGTAATCTAATGCCATGGCAATTAGGCTAAAATGTGATAACATGATCAAATATTAGCAGTCATTGAATAAATGAAGCCTTTTTCAACTTTCAGTTCTGAGTCATGTTAAAATGAATAATGGGAGCCTCTGTCCTTCATTCATTAATGACTAGCTAGTTGAATCTTGAGCTATCAGCAGCAATTCCCTTGTCCCAAATAGCTATGCTTCTTACCGATTCAGCTTTCTGTCCTAAAACATCTGGGGAGATAGCTACCGTTCCAGTACCAATCAAGCCAGTAACAGCTTATGTCAGTTCACACTAGAAAATAGCATGAGAAATTTTTTTCAGTTCAATTTCAGTTCTGGTTAAAACGAAGTCTTTAGAATAATGCTTCAGGTTGAATTCCAGGGAAGGAAAGAGGTACAAAATAAATCCTACACTCAGAATCCCAACTGGTTTCATGCTCATTTGGATTTTAGAGACTAAAGAAAATAGAATTTTATTTAAATATTTAAGCCTAGCTGTCAAAAGGAAAAACAAAAGTTCTACTCTCAAATGGTTTTTTAAGTTTCACATAGTCATTTCCCCATAACAAATTCAAGGTAGCCCTATACAGTACTGAAGTACTTAGTTAGAGACAACCAGATTAGGTGGGAGGCAGAGCTCACAGGCTTCACCCACGGATTCTGAGCCAGCAGGGTCTATCAACAGCTTCCTTACCTATAAAAGAAGGGAGCTGAAGAGGTGATCTCTAAAATCTCTTCCAGCTCTAAGAAGCCCTTTTAGTTAATGCCACAATTTCCCTCCTCTCCCAATCCCACTCCACCCCAATAATTCAAGTCTCAAAGAAGAAGAAACTCAAAACACAGAACTACTTCAGTATTATCTCCAGCTAAAATCATTGTACCTAACAAAGGCGGACCAAACCTCTATGTCTCCCAAGGTTAAACTTAGTTTAACTATATCAGGACTTTCAACTTCCCCAAGACATCATTTAAAAATTATCAACTATAGATTAAATTCCCCAAAGGAAAATTCACAGGATTACAGATCCTGGTACGGAGCACAAGGGCCATCTAGCCAGGCCCCTCCAATTTACAGATGAGGAATGGAGTCCCAGAAAGATTAATCATACTGCCAATGTCTCATAGGTAACAAACTCCGACTCTGAATCCAGTCAGTGCCTGCTAGTTTGCATCCTTGCAAATGTAAACCTTGGGGGCAGCTAGGTGGTTCAGTGGATGGAGTGCTGACCTTGGAGTCAGGAAGGCTTGAGTTCAGATCTGGCCTCACTTACTAGCTGTGTGACCCTGGGCAAATCACTTCACTCTATTTGCCTTAATCCACTGGAGAAGGAAATGGCAAACCACTCCAGTCTCTGTGCCAAGAAAATCCCATACAGGCTCATGAAGTCAGACACAACTGAACAACAACAAAAAAAAATGCAAACCTAAAGAGGAATGCTGGCCATGTTCTGGGTGGCAAGATTATTTTTGCTCCAAAAGATCACTCCACAAGGTAGACAGTTTACAAGCAGAACAATACAAATTTACAATACACTAATATGTTTTCTTTTCCTTTCACATGAAAAAATACTTTTAAAAAGGAACAGATTAGATGATCTTTAAGGTCCCTTCCAGTTCTACATCTACGATCCTATGGATTAATAGTTAAAACACCCAACATTCATTTTTAGGGCTACATTACCTCGAAGTGTTTCAAGAATAGTGACAAAAGCTATGTGTACAGCATTATATAGCTCACAAAGCACTTTCTTCACAACAACCCTGCGAGGTGGGTAGTTTAAGTACTGTTCCCTATTCTAATTTTCAGATGAGGGAAGCAGAAGTGAAATGACTTCCCCTAGCCCAGGTTCCCAGGGCCAGGAAGTATCTGAGGCTGCATCAGGACCCAGGTCTCCTGCCTCGAAGGCCGGTGCTCTTCCCACTAGACCATACTGTTTTTTCAATTTCCCTGAATGGTTAAAAACATACAAAGAAAAGAGCTAGTTACTCCCTTTTCATCTCCTGTCCTAGTAATGAAAGATAATTTCAGCAGGGATAAGTTACACAGAAAGGTTCAGAAGAGCATAATTCATTCCATTACTCATTAAACTGAAACCTATATGACTCTTGTGGGTGGGTTTGTTATCCTACAATTTTAAAAGAGGTAAGGTTTGTGAGATTCAGCTAAGGATATCAGTTTCTTTAAATTTAGAAAAGCCCCTTTAGTGATTCCAAGTGTGATCACCTCAGAGGCTACACATGAGGGCCATGTGGTAAAGTCCTCAGGGGGAACAGTTTCTACCACAGAGGCTCTCTTTCTCTCTCTCTCTCACACTCACACACACACACACACACACACACACACACATTTCTCTTTCTCTTCATATATTCATATATATGTATAAAATATGTTCCTCTTTAAAAGTTCAGAGAATACAATGTTTCAACAACAAAAACAAAACTTTATGCACCAGTTGGGGAAAAAACATTTTAAAATTTTGTAAAAGATAAATATATTACAATTTTCCAGATATCTCTAAAATTTCTTCTTAGCCTATATTTGATATTCAGGGTTCATGCACATGAATGCCTTATTCAGCAAAACTAGAAACCAAGGTTCAAATCACCATCATCTTCTAATTTCTGAAATAATCTTAAACTGCGTAATCCGGACTCTCGCTCTCCATTTTTCCACAGAATAATGAGGTGATCAGCAGAGCATGTCACTAGTCCATGGTCTTCAAAGTATAAGAACATCTGTAACAAAAATGAAAATCACTAAGTTATAGCACATAATACGAGGTAAGGAGAATTCCATTCAACATACATTTATTAAGCGCCTACTGTATACTAAGTGTTGGGGGGAAAACAAAGTTTAGAAAACCCATGCTGTGTGCCTTCATGGAGCTTCCAGGGAACAGAGGTTAAAAGTAGAAAAATAGTAGTCTGTTTATCACAAATATTTTTAAAAGAATATTTCCATCAAAGGCCACCTTGAGCATGAAAATAGAAGTCAGTTCCATTTTTAACCATTATTTTCATTTTTACAAGTTGACAAATGCACATTCCTCTCTATCACCCAGAATTCTATTCACTAAACTTCCCTATTAACTGGGACTCTGACACATCTACATTTTAGTGACATTTGATGTTCATAATTATGAACTTCAGCTACTGCCAAGATTCTGAAAGTTTTCCTGATTTAAAAGAAAGATTACGTTGTGTTCTCTATGGTTTTCATATTTGATCATATTCTAATTCTTCATAAGTTGTTAAAAAAAAAGTATTGCCAAACAGAGGTCTGACTAGATTTGCTTTAATGACTAGATAAGGATCACTTGTGATTAACCCATTGTTTTTGTACAAATGGCTGCTGCTAAACTGCTTGAAAAAGTCTGTTCTCTTAAATGAATAAAAGCTACCTCTACAAGTCTGGTGATATTATTTGATTAAGAAATACTCACTCCAGTAGATTCGTGACTGCATTAATTTGGATGTTTCCTCCAAAAATGCAGATTACAAACCATTCCTGCCTACCAGCCCATCATGTGGGACCCTCCTCCAGAGATTCCAATGAATTCACTATGGGGGAGGTGCAACCCAACATGCCAAAGAACTTCCTCACTTTCTCCTAACAGCATGAGGATACAGTGGGGCCCTTGGTCTGTCCACCTGTCATGTTTCAACTTTCTTTTTCTGTCACACGTTTCTCCGGGAGCATCTTTTATTCCCATTCTTTGAAATTCTTCATCTGTTATATTTTGTCTTGCTTACACCCACCATGAAAGCCCTCCATCTCTCCACTGCCTTCTGGGTGAGTTTCCTTTTCAGTTCTTTGGAAACTGCTGTGTTCCATATCTCTTAACCATCCTTGAGACCAGCCCTTGCCTGTGTAATCACAAATTCCAAATTTAAAAACCTTATTGTAAATGAAATCATTTAGATGTGACCATTTTGAGCTCTTTGGGGGAAGAGCACAAAGCCTAGGTATATAATAATACCTTCTGTTCACATAGCACTCTTTACATGCATTATCTTCTGGGGTGCTCTCAGCAGTCCTCTCAGGTAGGTAATTACAGATATTTTTATTCCCATTTTTAAAATGAGCAAAAGGAAAGCTTGGAGAGGTTAAGTGATTTGCCCAAGGCCACACGGTTAATGGAGGGCTGAACTGACTCTGATCCCCGCCCCAACACACCTTTCATTGGGTCCCTGCTGCTCCAGGCCTCATGACTGTGCCAGGCAGTTGGCCAGGCAACAAGCATTTATTAAGTGCTTTCTATGTGCCAGGCTCAGTGCAAAGTGCTAGAGATACAAAGAAAGGCAAATACATGGTCAAGAAGGCAATGGGGGAGGCAACACGTAAACAACTAGGTATATACAAAAGCTATACAGTAGAAAGGGGAAAGGCAATCTCAAAGGGAAGGCACTGGGAGGAGTGGGGAGAAGAAGAAATGGAAGAGACCTGGAAAGGATGCTTACAAAAAAGGGAATTGGAGCAGAATCCTGAAGGAAGCTAGGGCCTGGAGGTGAAGAGGAAGGTGTGGGGAAAAGCTAGTACAAAAGCACAGAGATGGGAGTGTTGTATACAGGGAACAGCAAGGTGGTCAGTGTGTCTGGATTGAAGAGTGAGTAGAGGAGGAGAAGGAGCTAGGTGGTGAAGGTCTTTAAATGTCAGAGGACTCTTTACTGGATCCAGGAGGTTACCAGGGGCAGGAGAAGAAGGTGATATGATCAGACCTGGATTTTAAGAAAATCACTTTTGGCAGCTGAGCAAAGTATAGACTGGAGTGGGAAGAAACTTGAGACAAGGACACCAATTAGAAGAATTATTGCAACAGGCATGGTCACAGTATTTATTAATCCCTTGCTATGTGGCATTGTGCTAAGTCCAGGTAAGAGGTGATAATAAAAAGGTTTAAACGTTCAAAGAAAACATGGGAACACTCTTGACAATAATCAACATGTGAATGTGAAGTATAGCAGCATAAATTCCCCAAACAAATATATGAGACAAAACCAGTGGCTAAAGTTATCACAACATCTGTGCATATTTATATATACATACATATATGTACACATGTGTACATATGTTTTACATATAGATGATTTTCATTCTCAGGCAGCCTCTAGAGCTTTTAAAAACAGTCCTTATCTTTCTACTTTTTGCCTTCTGCTGCCACTCCCCAGTGTTCATAATGACTGCAGAGCTCGACATGAGGACTCCTCTGCTACATCTCTGGAGATGAGGGTCAGTCATTAGGTTCCAGCCCAGCCAGGGTAGCTAATGTAAGTCAGGTATTGTAGCTAATCTCCAGTGGCCTGGGGGGCCTCCAAAACATCTACGGTGGGTCCTGAAGTCCTTTTTTACAATATGAAAGAGCAGCCTGAATCTCAGGGTTAACTTGGAATGGCTTCAGCCCTAAATGGGAATCCAGATCACTCCAATCCGTTCTATCCTGTATTGTCCCGAGTTAAAACCATTCCCTTTGTCCTTTGTTGCTCTCACATCCCCATAGCTACCTTCAGGTATTCATTTTTACCAAAAAGTAGCGTAAGACAATTCATTTTTTTGATAAAAATGAAAAATGGTCAGATGACAATGAGTACTATAAAGCCTGAAGGACCAAAGGAAAGAGAGATCAAGGAGCCACTAATCAGCAAATCTTGGGTCTTTAATTTCTTAATTGCCCACATCCTGTTCCTACAACATTTCTATGCATATCCCGTAGTTTAGGTCAGAGACACTAGATATAAATTCCTTCTCCATCTACTGGCATCTACAATCCTACTCATCAATTCAACCATTCTGGCAGCAATACTGCCCTAAGAACTTCTCAGAAAGCCACCAACTTTGAAAGTCTTTATATCTGTGCAGATGTAATCAATCAAATAAACCTGCTATAATCTGGCTGAATAAACATTACTTAACAGATTAAACAATCAATGCAACATACAAGGCATCATAAAGTGAAGGGCTAACTTCTCTGGCACAGAATACTGGAGGGTTATCAGGCAGATAAATGAGAGGTGTAATGGGCAAGGAAATCCTCCTGGAGGAATAACTTGGATTTTCCATGTGGCCAGAGGTGGATGAAGGGGGAAGAGCCCTCCAAGAAAAGAGCACAATATGAGTAATACACTGGTGTGTTGCATTAAAGGGGGGGGAGAGGAAACTACTGCCAGGGAGAGCAGGAGACTATTACAGTAATCCATGTATGAGCTGATTAGGGGCTAGACAAATCCAGTAGAAAAGGAGAAAGGACAAGTATATTTAGTA